GCCTTCCATGTGCCTGTATGTGGGTGTGTGTGTGTGTGCGAGGGCGTATGTGTGTAGGGGTGTGAGTGGGTATGGGTGTGGGTATGCGGGTGAGGTATTGGTATTCTTGGGTGTGTGTGTATGTGTGTGGGGGTGTACGTGTGTGTGTAGGGATGTGAGTGCGGGTATGGGTGTGTCTTGCCGCCCTTTTGCTTTTCCCTCCGGTGATATCTGTATGGGTGTGCCCTGGGAGTGTCTACGGGTCGGCCGCCTGCCGCCCCTCTCGCCGTAGAGACCGGGGTGGCGGTGTGCTCGACTTTCATACACCCCCAGCACCCCGTGCGTAGTTTTTACAGGGGCGTGTTTGCGTGTGACTGGTCGATTTGCACTAGCTGCCCACCTGGGGATGGGCGGTACGTACGTATGAAGTCATGGTGCACCACGCGCGCACGCACGCCGCCTTCAGGTTGCTGGGGTGGCGCGTGTGCGACGTTCTGTGCCTGCTCGTATGTTGCCGTCGTTCGCAGCGCATTGCATATCCTCCTGTTTGCTGCATCTGCCCTCTGCGTGCTGCGTGTTGCGTGTCCGGGTTGCATGTTAGGGTGCGTGTTTCATGTGGGACGGACCGAGAGGGGACTTGGCCGTCAGGCCGCCTAGGGTGCTCCCTGAAATCGCTGCTGCAGCGACGGACGGCGCCAACATAGGCGCCTTGATGACGTAGGCGCCTTTATACAGGCGCCTACGTAACGGCGCCGATGTAGGCGCCTACGTCAAGGCGCCTACACGTCAAGGCGCCTACAGGTCACGGCGCCCACATCGGCGCCTACTTCGAGCCGCCGATGTAGGCGCCTATATAAAGGCGCCTACTTCTAGTCGCCGGCCACCTACGTGGGGGCGTCTCCGAAGTTAATACCCTAAACCCTAAGCGACAAACGAAGGTTTGGCGAACAAGCATCCCAACCAAGAAACCCTTCCAAAGCCCCTCCCCGTCACCTCTCCCTCCTGCGTGCTGCCAAAGGGGAGCGTCCAATCGACACACTCACTCCCACCCATCCCTTCGCAGCGTGTTCGCCTCTACTTCCGCCTACATTCATGCGCCTATATGGGCGGATCTTTCGTCGTCTCCATTCATGCGCCCATAGAGGCGCGTCTGGCGCCTACATGGGCATGTCGGACGCGGGCTTACTTATCGGGCTCTATAGGCTGGCGTCTCCGTCTATATCGACGAAATCCGCGCATATGAAGAGAGCACTGCCTCATCTCAGATGAAGAGGCAGCCTTCGAGCAGCATCACTTTGACCTTCGAACTGCCAGTGTGGGTACTGGGGGCTATCCGCATGGTCGAAGCTGGCTTGAGGAGGTTGCTGTTCATTGTTACTGAAAACGGAGCAGTAACGGTAGAGACCGGAAAGGAAGGCTACGTTCTTCTTGAACCAAGACACTTAGCAACCAACACCGACTGGTATTCTTATGTCCTGCTTGCCCACACAGTAGGATGATGCAGCGAGGGCTGCGCGCGTCTTCATCACCATGTTCACTATTCAAAGAAACAACGCTTTCCTTCTTGTCGCATTGCCCCTGTCTTTATTCGGAATACAATGCCTCATCGCTGGACAGGTGTAATATTATATATGTTATTCGCAATTGAACTGTGTGTGAGTGTGTCCTCAGGGTGCTACGACATTTGAAGACGTAGTGAGTGTTGATGAGGGCTTCTACATGAATGACTGGAAGTGCTTCTGTCCTGGCCTTGGCGGCTCCTGCTATGGCGAGTGCGGCCGAGGGTACGACGCTGCTGAGCTAACCAGCAAGGACACGTTCAGGTACGGGCGTTTCGAGACGAGTTTGCACCGGGATGATGTCGAGGGAACAGTAGCAACCTTCTTCCTCTTCAAGAATGACAGCGACAAAGTCCGTGGGGCGTTGTGGAAGGAGATAGACTACGAGGTGCATGGCTTGGGCGGCCATGCCGCGACGCCCATCCAGACCAACATCATAACGGGCAACTTCAAAGACCGCAACAGATCCCCGCAGTACCTCCCAATGCCGGGTCACCCCTCACAGGGTGAGGCTCAGGCGGATGCTGTCAAGAGAGGTTTCCATCACATTGCGCTTGAGTGGACCCCCGACTATGTCGCATGGTACTTCGATGGAAGACGCGTTCGGCTCGATACGGCCTGTGGCGCTGGATTGCATTGCAGTCCCCAAACCTCTGAGTTGACGGACCCGATGAATCTTCGTCTGTCCCTGTGGCCATGCAACCCCCACTTCGAGTGGGCCGAGTCGTGGGCCGTCAGGTTCGATCCCGCCTCGGTCCCTCTTACCGCGTATTTCGATTATGTCAGGACATACGACTACGACCCGATCACCAAGGGTGTATCCAATATCGTCTTTCCCCCAGGAATACCGTTTCCTGCCCAATTCGCTTGTATCAGGTTTCATTCCAAAGTGGACAGACGAGTTCGGGACGCTCAATGCGACTCGATGGGAGGCCAGCACTCACACCTTCGACGCACAATTCAAGCCGAATAATGCTGCCATTGTCAAGGCGGAGGAGACTGACCCGCTGTCCGACGGGTCGTACCTTTCTTTGTCCATTACAGACAAGAACGCCACAATCGATGTCCTCCCACCCGACTTCCAGAGGCCCACGTACGACGAATTCAACGTTAAGCCACTAGAATGGGTCTACGATGATTGGAACCCGCCATCCAAAAGCTATTTGCTGGAGAGCGAGGTCTGCAAAGGCGAAGGTGTCACGAGTGAGCCGGGCAAGCGATACGAGGGAGGCTGGGTAACCTTCACGACTGTATTGGTTGAGGGCCTGCCCAACTTTGGCAATACCCGGATCGATGAGACGGACGCTGTGCAGAAGTGCACGGCCATGTGTGTAGACCACTACAACAGCAGCGAGTGCCGCTTCTTCACGGTCTTCTCTGTCGAGTCCACCCAGTACTGCAGCGGCTTCATGACCCCCGAGAGAGAGAGATCAGCGATAGCTCTGCCGTGGCGGGTTTCATCTGCTCACAGCCTGACTCACAGGCCAAAACAGTTGAGCCCGCAGCCGACGGTCATATGGAGTTAGAAGCGGAGGCCGAGGCGCCAACCGCTTCTGCTGAAACGGAGACAGAGGCGTCGACCTCTCCTAAACCCCTGGGGGAGCCGGAGGAGGAAACAGTGGTACCAGACACGCCCGAGGTGATCGATGAGGCCTCCGATGAGTTAATCTGGGCAGTCGAGGGGCAGGATAGCACTAGCCTTGTGCCCGTCGGCAGCCCGCTTGAGCCATCCGAAGGAGAGGCAGCTTCAGTGATCAAGGTGGAACCAGCTGACATGAGCGAGACAAATGAGGTTTCAACAAAAACAGAAGGCGACATTCCCATCTGGCTTATTCTCGTTGTCATTGCTGCTGCTCTACTCCCGGTGACGGGCCTGGTCTTCTTCTTCTTCGCTAGAGACAGGAGGTCCAAAAGCGGGCCCGAAGCAGCGCAGCGCACTCACACCGCGACAAGTTGGGTATCAGTGTGAGCGGCTTCCCTTGGCGAACGCATCCGAATGAGCCGATGCGTGTACGTGTGTATGCTTGCTTTGCGCGACACGCCATCCTTCGTAGGTGTTTTTTGCCTCATGAAGCGAAAGCAACAAAAGCGGCTGGCCGGTCCACCGAGACATGTTTTACCTCGTCCGGTTGTATGTGTGTATGTGTGTGTGTTTTTTTTTCTGTTTCTTAAGACGCACACAGACCTTTTTTTTTAAGACGCACACAGACACCCGTGGACAACACTACACATACGCAAACAGCAAGACCGCCTCACGTCCAGTGCAAGCGTGCGTGTCCAACCGATCATGTGTGTGTCGAGTGAAGATGTTTCGATCCTTGTCGAGGCAAGAGGATGGATGGTACGGCTCATCCACAGCTAGCTATGGGCTTGAAGGGGTGACGGTTTTTATCCCAAGACGCAAGGGTTCAAAGGGCCTAACCACACATCATAGACACACGGCGAAGGCCGACAGGCTTCATCACAGACAAATCCTCAGTGCAAATCTGAACAGCTTCACAGGGAAGGGGAGTTTAATCCAATGCAGTCAGTGCGACATTTCGCCGGCCCCTAAAAGAGTGGCGCATACACAGGCACTGCACCGTCACAAACGCATGCTGGCATCAACATTACAGACACGGAGACATTTCCCACACACAACAGACACACAGATACACCAAGTCAGACCTGCCTGCGCGCCACCCGCCCTGTACCTCGCTGTGCGCACCTGCAATAAACAATGACCACGGACACAAACCTCTCAGCACAGTGACCTGTTATGCCTTTCGGACGAAGCGTATGTGTGCCCTTCCGCTGCACATGAAGGACCTACACTCATCTCAACGTCCACAATACACATCAGCAGCCACACGGACAGACAGACAAGCAGTCAACCACGCTCACAGATGGCAACATACATACGAAAAGACAGTGGGCTTCACAAAGAGACGGCCCCTCTTCTCGTGCGTCCTGGCTGCGTCCACCTGTCTGTCTGTCTGTCCGTCAACCACAGTGTGTGCAGAATGGGTCAGGTCGGCGTATAATGGATGACGTCACAAAGCGCAATCGTGTTGACGATGCCCTGAGCCGGCTCACCGATCAGAATAATCGGAGTAGCTGGAAGGGATGTCATTGATCATTAGTTGTGCACACAAAAGAGACAGACCAGACGCCGATTCGGTGTTCATTTTTTGCTATGTCCCGATAATATGAGGGCGGCATCCGTCACGAGTCAGCTAGTTCCCGTGTGTGCACCAGTCCCCCCACCTCCCGGCCGTCCCATCTCTCCTTCGTCAGTACGTCACGTGGTCGCCTTAATGTCCATGCAAAGACGGCCTTTGTGAGGCACGCCGGACACTTCAGTTCCGCATCGCGTCTGACGTACATCGGCATCGCCTTGTCCCCGGGAAAAAGAGGAAAAGCAACCCGGCCGACGGCGAGAACAGGAGAGCGAGCAAATTGAAATAGATGAAGAGGATTGAAATATCAGCTTGATGTCCAGACACGCATCAAAACGCCACATGAGTAACCGACACCGGTTTTCGCCATTTTTTCGCCAACGAGAGGGCCGATTCAAATGGGGAGCGAACTCGTTTCTCGCAGGGTACCCCGCTGCCGGGCTGTGAGATGGCGGCTGGACCTGAGTTCTGAATGTGTGTGTCATGTTGCATGTCTCACGCTTCTTTGCAGTGTGCGACATGTTTTCACAGTCGACGAACGTTGTCCATTGTTTCTGCATGTATTGTCTCCCTTCGCTTGCTTGATACGAACTGATGCTTAGACGAACTTCGTCGCCCGTTTCATGCATCTACTTAAAAGCACAATGCACATATATTTAAATCAGATCTAAGAGAGACCGCCTGGGAAAAAAGTTGGAGGACACTTTCACCCTTTAGACTAACTGTCTCTGTAGCCGTTGCTTTCAGGGTACCCGTTTCAGCTCAATGGATCAAAGCTGAGAGCAGAATGGTTCTCAACGTTAATGTCATCCTCGGAGTCCTGATTGGCGCGACGTCTTCGCTTGCAGGTGCTCTCTCACGTTCACCCCACGTCTCGGACCCTGTCGAAGGTTGGTCCCGCTCTGCTCGCAGTTCCCTGCTGCCTCTATGTGTTCCTGATGCCCGTGGCAATGAAGACAAATGGGTGGCAGTGTGTGCGGAAGAAGACGGCCGAATACTCTACTTTGCATCCATGGAGGAGGGTCTTCTTCACCCTGTACTTGAAGTGGACCGCCGGTTTGCTGTTGACTACGATGGCGACGGAGAAGAGGAGATAGCCATAGACGTGAGGGTCTTTGCAAAACACGTGCTTAAGTTCCTTCCGTTTCCATTCCACAGGGTTCAGGCTCCCACACTCATGAGGCAGGCAAGTCACTCAGCAGCTATTCATTCAAAGTCGACGGCAAGACGGTTTCTGCGACAGTGAGTGAACATGCTATAAGAGCAGTCAGAACGACCGCATTGAAGAGCTATACTGACTGCAGGAATGTAGTACTGATGAGAGCAACTGTGAACGGCACATTCGACCATCCCTTGGTTATGGCAACCATTCCATTGAGATCACTGTGAGAGATGAACACAACAACACCGCGTCCGCCAGCAAGGAGGTCCACGTAGCCCCCATTGATGAAGTGCCCGGTTGTTCGTTGGCGCTCTACACGGGCGATGATAACAAGGGCTTCTCAGCACGTGGCTTGCTGCGAAGCCGCGCTGCCACAAAGGGTTTCCAGCTGCGACGCAATGGCGTCAAGGGTCTGCATCCGCGGTGGGTGACGTCCAGCGGCGTGGTGGCTGACGCTGACGAAGACACCCGCGGCCGGGGCTCCCCATACGAGACCTGTGAAGTACTTCCGGACCCCCAAACGATGGGAATTTTTGATAAAGAGTTCACTAGCAATCTGATCGTCAGGGCACAGGTAGTGCAGTTCACGCTCCGTGAAAGCACACCACTATCTTGATGTACCCTGACGCAACCAGGGCGTGCTCGAGCTTTCCGCATCTGGTTCAAAGAATGAGCCTACTATGCTGTCTGTTGAGGGTGGAAGCGACGCAGTGGTGTGGATTGATGGGGAGCAGCGCCTATTCGAGAAGGGAAGGAGCATCCCACTGGAGGCTGGACGCGGAGCGGTGGAGGTGGAAGTGAGATGGCTTGTTGCGGAGCCGACAAGACAGCCTTTGCGGGTGGTACTGCAAGACGACAACCGATCATCACCAGTCAGCTGGCGCTGGACTCACAACCAGCGAGATTGGGAACCCTTCATCAACAAAGTATCGCCCGATAAAGTGGACTCGGATGGGGGCACCCTAATCACGATTGACGGCGTTGGCTTTTTGAGTCCACAGGTGAGGCAATGAATCACATCCTGCTCATTGATTCACATGAGGCACCGCTGATCTTTTCTCCAATGCAAGACGGCGCAACGGATCAATTTGGTGTTTATAAGGAACAACATTCGCTATGGCGACCGCGTGGACAGCAGTGGCAATGTACCTGGTGTTGTGGGCTGGAGTGGCATACGCATAGAGTACCGAACACCACCCGTAAGTCCGCATTAGACCCATTTTTGATGATCGTCTGATGACCTGCAAACCATTCAGGCTCCTGTGAACCAAATCGCGGATGTGCAGCTTGTGCTGGTGAGAAGGATGTGTACTCGAAGGGTGACATGGTTGTGCTCCATGTGCTCCTCCAGTTCCCACCTCAGCCATCTGCGCCTTGGGACTCAAAACCCTCAAATGCCAAGAGAATCGTGTACAAGAGTGGCGGCAGCTTTGACAGGATTGCGTTTCAGGGGCTCAAGAAAGTCGTGGACCTGTGGAGCCAGATCACGGGCGGTCACCGGGGGAGAGAAGGTCCAAGGTCGTTTTCAGGGACCTTCACAACAGGGGTGTGGGCTCAGGATGGGCGAACACTTGTGATGGGGACAATTCCAGGCCTCCTGGCTACTGCATCATTCATGAGCACTGATGAGGTGGATAAGAGCTCCATCAAAGTGTATGACACACTACAGAAGGAGTTTCCGGGCCACTCGATCTCTGGGATCGAGTTCGATCCGCTCCGCCCCCCCTCAGACCCTCATCTGTATGTCGCACATGGACCCTTCTTCTACTGGGTAATCATCGAATCAATCAGGAAAGATCGCAACTTAGAATGCCTCTCTCATGCAGTGGAGACAAGGCATTTATTGCTTCAATGAGACCATGACTTACGCCCCCTTCTTGGCGCGCATATCCCGTCTGTCTGGCCCCGACTTCTCGGTCCTTGAAACCGTACTGGAGAACCTCCCAATTTCAAACACTCAGCACACAGTCAACGGCTTACATTTCGACAACGAAGGAAACCTGTACGCCAATGTGGGCAGCACGACGAACGCGGGCTGGCCGGCGTGTTGGTATGTGGCCAAGCACTTCAGTGTGCGTGTGGCCAAGCACTTCAGTGTATACACTTTCTTCTTGCAATTCAGGACAGGCGGTCTGCCTGAATCCCCTCTGTCGGCATCACTCATTAAGGCATGCAGTTGGATGCTCTGCATGTGACCTCACTGTCGCCGTCATGCAGGTCGAGGTCAACAACCCCAACCTGACCAAGAAGATCGAGTATGTCGACCACAAGACGCGCGAGCCCATCGAGAAGCCAAACCAGGTGAGATTGGGACACTGTCCTGATAAATGGTCCTTAATGTGTTTCTATGCAGCTGGAGGGTGACCGCTATGACCTCGCAAATAGTGTTGTAGGAGTGACGGTGTGGTCCAGTGGACTCCGCAATGCATACGATAGCGTCTACACTACCAAAGGTACATTAATGCATATGACCTTATTCGAATTGAATGCACACTTGCTACGTCTTCACAAGCAGACATTCTCCTTGTGAATGTCGAGCAGGGAGGACCTATGTGATCATGAACGGGCCGAACATTCGCAGTGGTTCCCCTGTCGTGGGCCCTCCATCTGGCGACCGCTGTACTCCTGCAGACTTCGATACATGGGACAAGACATTTGAAGACGGTGTACCTAATCCCCTTTTCCTTCCAAAGCCGGAGAAGGAAAATGGGAGGAATTGTCAGCCGATCCTGTCCAATCAGGGGGTGGAGACCATGGATCGCATTTTCAACTCCTTCAACGGTGCATACCACGGCCATCCTAACCCTGCTCGAGCCCGCAATACCAACGACACGAGACAATGGTGGGATATGTATGCATCGCCGTCATCACAGCAAACAAACAGTGCTTACTGTGATCCCTGCGTATGGCAAGGTACCACTTCAAGGGCTCACAAGGAATGGCAAAATTGAACTTCACTGCTGGACGACCGCTTCCATCTCCCACCACGGGAATATCTGAGTTTCGCGGCAGCTGCTTCAACAAACAGCTTCAGGGGAGCCTGTTGGTGTCAAGGTGGCAGAAGGAGATCTTTCTTGTCCCAGATGAGGAAAACATAGAGGCCCGTACAGAGTAAGATGGCTTTACATTTTCTTCTCTGTTTAAGTATCTTGTTTCAGGTCTTTGGGACTTTTTCGGGACCACCTGGACATACAGTATGGGCCGGCATGCTCTATCGTTCTCATGGGATACGAGAGCGGCTCCCTAAGCGTTTTGATACCCGAGGAAAGCTCGCTGGATGCCTTTGAGAAGGAGGCGACTTCTCCTCGAGTGTTTGATGTTCTTCCATGGAGAGGCCCGATGTCGTCGGAACTTCCGATTACGCTCGGAGGACGCAGATTTACGAAGGGCAAAAAGGAAAGACGGCCTGAAACGGTACTGTTCGGAGGCATTGAGGCTGCCATCCAAAGATATGACTCGACACGCATCGAGGTGGTAATTCCGGCAGAAGCGAAGCGAGCAGATGATCAAAGTCTTAAGAACCTTGTAGACGTTGTTGTCCACTTCTCAGACGGTACATCAGACACTCTTGCAAACGCGTTTTTGTTTTTGAAGAGTTAGGCAGATGCTTTTCCGCTTGAAGAGAGACGGTGGAGGAGGGTGGAAAAACAAAGAGAAGGAAAATGAGCTAGCTACAAGCCAGATCACAATACATGCAGAAACAATGAACAACGCTCATTGTCTGTACACAGACACAGGTCGCACACTGCAAACTAGGAGAGAATTCGAGTCGGAAAAGAGTTTTAAAAATGGGATGGCGTCAAGCTGGCGTGGCGCACGCTTAGACAAGTCAATGTGACGCAAGGTGTAGCGCAAAGCAAGCGTGCAGCACGGAACAGTCAGGTTGCACACCAGCTGGGTGCTCTCCCTTGGGGAGATGCCATCTCACGCGCGTATAGAGGTCGCAAAAAGACAAGGCAGCACAGTACAGAACAGAGGCCTACAGCCAGACATGCACCAAAAAGAGAAGGTCGAACAAGGACATCAGTAGGGGCATAGAGACACACAACGGAACGAACACAGCGGGACGAATACGCAACGCTGACACACGTGGGACGAACTAAGAAAGTGGTGGAGACGTAAATGAGGTACAGGAGATATGCAGCCGGCCGCCACACACCTCTGGGGGTGTGACGGTCGGCTGCACATCTCCTGTACATCCTTGGCGCCCCCACCACCTTCTTGGTTCGTCCCACCTGTATGACTTTCTCTTTTTGGTGCATGTCGGCTGTAGATCTCTTTTCTATCTTCTACATGGCATTGCTCCGCGCCAGTGGCCGCTGAGTGCTCCCTGATGGCCGCTGAGTGCTCCCTGATGCTTGATGCGCGTCCCCGAGTGATTCCACACTCTTCAGCGGTTTCTCCACCACACTGTACAGTCCAGGCGACAAGAGACAGGAGACAGGAAGCACAGTAAGATACATCCTGAGACGGAAGACAAATATGCTCTCTCTCTATATCTCTGTTTGTGTGCGGATGGCATACACCAGACCGAAGAAAGAGAGCCGTTGGCGGATTTTTGCACTATTTCAACCCGTTTTTAAACAAAGTAGGTATGTATCTCCCCTTCAGCATAGTATAGTACGAGTATGAGTACAGTATAGTATAGGCATTATGCGTACAAGGCACAACACCTCGTTTCTCATTTAGTATGAGGTGTGTCGTGCCGCAGCTCCTCTTCATCGTATGGGTGTGTACCGCCCAGGAGCCAGGTCAGTGAGACAGAAGCAAGGAACAGCGGGCCTGGTCGAAAGCCTTGTTTTGCTCCTTCGTAGGATGCCTCCTCGAGGAGAACGTAGATTACGCAGCGGGTGCAGACATCGAGGCGGCTAGTAGTGGATTCCCTTCTCATCTGCGCTGTGCCGACTGGTGCGCAGTCACGGAACGCTGCGAATACTGGGTTCACGTGGGTTTCGGAGACGACGGGATGTGCTTTCTCAAGACTGCCCGAGAGCCAGTGATGCCCAGGGCAGCAAACCCTGACGAAGGCTTACAGGTGACGGCTGGCAACAAAGCATGCGGAGATCCTTCCAGCATGGTCGCGAAAGGTTCGTATGCTTGCACAAGATTGGGGGGCTGCCTTGTGATTGGTCGCTCGTAACCACTGCAAATGCTTTTTGTTTGATTCTCTGCAGGTTGTATTTTGGAGGAAAACGTTGACCGTGCCACAGATTCGGATACGGACCTTAGGGCGGCAATTAGTGGCTTTCCTGAATATCTCAGTTGCGCCGACTGGTGCGCTGGCACAGAGGGCTGCGAATACTGGGTTCACTTGGGTACTGGAGACGATGGTTCGTGCTGGCTCAAGACAGCCAGAGACCCTGCTGTTCATCCTGCGCCGGATGAGGACGGCAGGAAGTTCACGGCTGGCAGCAAAGCATGCGGAGACCCGGAAAATATGTTGAGAATAAATGGTCAAGGTATGCCTAACAGGTCAGAGAAAGCGTGTGATTGGTATGTCTTAATCGCTACAGATGACAGCTCCGGCTCGGATGAAAGTGCTGGGTGTTTCTCTTCGAAGACAGCATCCAATGCGCCAGTAGTTTACCATCGGCAGTGGGTGATAGGCAACGACGTACATCTGTATTGGATCTTCGCTTTTGTTTTTAGTTGTGACGCGGTTCAAAAGGGATATCAAACTGCAAATTGGTGCCAGGTCCAGTGTATGGGCAATCCCGACTGCAACGCTTTTGTCTACCAGCTAAAGAAGGGGCACTACAAACATACCGGTAGGTTCACGCCGCATACGGGACAGCCACCTGAAAACGTACCTCGTCCCCTGTGCAGACCCTAACAGCGTGAACCAGGTCGACTGCTTCCTTCTTGCCGACAAGGGCGACACATTCACTCCGGGGAAGAAGGAAAGGAACAAGGACCTGGAGTTCACATTCGGCCCCAAATACTGTCCGGGAGAGGGTAAGCATCTAGGGCCTGACAATCGCCAATTAGACCGTGGATGGAAAACTATTTCTGGGTCGTCTCGTCCATCAGAGCCCCCTTGGGACAAGCCTATTGAAGAGTGGCCTCTGCGGATCAATGCCGGCGGCCCGCCCCACGAAGATGTGTACGACAAGGAAGTGGCGACAGGACAAATACTTCACGGAGCAAGCCGGCCCTACGGGTCTCTATTATGAAAAGAAATTCGTAAGCCGTCACATAAGCGCGCTTCAGAAACGAGCGCTTTGTACCGTTCGTTTCTGAATCAGACGAAGTCTCGTCCTATGGAGCCCCTCGCCCACACGGGTCGTGAGGATTTTGTCTACTCGATACCAGTGGAGTCCCCCGTCGCCGTCGTCGTCAATCTCTACTTCGCTGAGGTAAACAGACGTGTCCTCGCTAATCAAAGCATCGTTGGTGACAAGGATATGTACGATAGGTCATCCACAAAGGGAAACCGGGACAGCGTGTCCAAAACGTCTTCGTAGAGAACAACCAAGTGCTCAGTGATTTTGACATCTTCGCCACAGCTGCGGCTCTCATCGCCCCCGAAGGCACCAAGGTATAAAAGACCGGATTGACCCAGAACACCTATCTGCAACCTTCAATTGTCTTTTCGCCTGCCATTCCTTCTGAAAGGAGGTCAGGTATATATCAAAGGACACGAGAACGCAGGATGTCGTTGGCAACTCCACCGTGACTGTCTACAACGGCCCAGACGAGCCCTTCGGCACCATCGTCAAAGTCGAGACGCCCATGGCGGTAATCGAGGACAACAGCATTGACATCAGAGGCGATGCGGTGAAGGGCAAGTCATGGCTCACAGCCGTCGAGGTCTACGCCACAGAAGTGGTGCTGGATATCACCGTCACGGCTGATAGCCCCACACAGACGGAACCGTTCACCGCAATTGCATTCGCACCGGGAACGCCCACACAGGTGTGTCAAATCGAAAGAGTCCCAGCACTCCACTCAACAACCCTCCTGCCTCTCTGGCTCACGGTGTGTTCTTGCCTGTCAGACGCTCACGATTGAGAACAGGGACAGCCGCGACGTGAAGCTTCCCATATCATTCGAGGGTGGCAGCGATGCCCAATTTACTTTTGTGCCCACGGAGGTCATACTCAAGGCGGGAGAGACTTCCACCGTCCACATCACGTGGACTGGAGCCGATACTGCGGATGGCCCTGTCGTCACCTCGCTCAAGCTATCCAAACACGTAACAGAGAAGGGATATCCAGCGAGTGTGCCGACGTGTTCCTCTCTCTGTCGCAGCTTCGTGTGTTAATTTCAGCCGATGTAATCAGTAAGGAGGCCATGCTCGACGTGCAGAGCGGCATACAGATGGGTCTCATCACTCCTCTGAGCTATGGGGGCAGCGGCAAGGGCATCCAGGCGCCCCTGTCGTCAAAGAGAACAGTCACCATCACACGGGTAGTGGCGTTCGGCTCGGAGGATGCTATCCAGGTGTCCATTCCTGGCACATTTACCGTGGAGGGCCCAGCGGACATCACCTTTAAGGAGCCGCGGACATCACCTTTAAGGAGCCGCTAAAGGTCACGTCCAAGGCGGCCATCCCCATGCGTATCGGATTCGCTGCCGACAATGCTGGGGACTTCGAGCTCATTGTGGCCTTCATGGGCCCTGACTTCGAGACCAGGTTCATGGCAGTGACGGGTCGCGGTGTCAACAAGGGGGAGCCCCACTATCTGCATCCAGTGCTGGACCTGCCGCCTGGCGGCTACGTGGTGGACTACGATGGCGACGGGAAAGAGAGTCTCCTGCTCATGGGGCACTTCAGCCACACACACGAGCCAAAAATGGTTAGCCGTGAGAAAAGGATGCGCAGGTATGCACAAGTGAATTGATGGGTTTATCTGCCTGTGTCTCTAAACAAGAGTGTAGAGAAGTGGACGTACAGCGTGAACGGTCAAGTTGTGTCCAGCGGTGTCGACAAGGACATTACTGAGGAATATGATACTGGTGTTTACACAGTCCAGCTCACCATTGAAGACGGAGAGGCAAAAACACTCGCGGACACAGGGAGGTATGCAGCCACACGCAACGAATGCAACACCCATCCGTGCTTGCCTACTTCTGGCATGCCATTTTTTGTCTTTCTTCCCTCCTCTATCCTCCTTTCAGTGTGGCTGTTGTGCCCATCGACAAGATCCCCGGTTGTGCGGCTTTTCTTTATAAGCCCCCTTCGTCGCAGCTCAGCGGGTTCTTTGAGGCGCCCATGGACGGCTTCAATCTCAAGATTGGCGGCACGACACTTGAGCCGAAATGGATCGGCAGCAGTCTCGACAACGGATGCGAATTCAAACCCGACGGTCGGACTAATAACATCATGGGGTCACCCTTCAAGCAGGATGTCATTCTCAGAGCTAAGGTCGGCGCCGGAGCTTCGCATGCCATGAGGGGAGTGAATGAGCTTGTATGTATGTCTTGTATCCGTTGGATGGTGAAGGGTACCCTAAAGGTGAATGACGGCATGAAGAATAACAAAGGGGAGGTTCCGATCACCGTCAACGCAGAGCCGGCCGTCCAGACGATGCTGTGGGTCGACGGCAAGCCTTTTGCACTCGGTAAGGGCAATGCCGAAGCCGAACTTGCCAACGGGGCCCATCAATTTGAGATCAGCTGGCTCATTAAGGACCCGGCTTCGAAGCCTCTGTCGGTAGGTGCTGTTGTGTAAGTAAGACAAGAGGAGGGGATGGGGAGTGAACACGCGCGAATCCGTACTTCGCTCAGTTGCATACGAATGGCGAGGCGGCGGCTATCGATGAGATCTCCCACAGCCAGCAGGAATACACTCCGTTCATCAACCGCATCTCCCCCACTAAAGGGCACGTCTCCGGCGGCCAAAAGATAACTATCGAGGGTGCCGGCTTCATGAATCCCGATGCGGTCAAGAGGGGTGCCTCCCTTCTCTTTGGCAAAACACCTGTCGACTACCTCACGGACACTCGGGTCCTCAAAGCTTCTGGCACAGAGATCGTATACGAGATTCCGCCAGGGGTGAGCGTGCAAAGACTGGCTTAGACCTGTGCGTCGTCTTTACGTGTTCGTTGGATAACAGGAGGAGGGCGAGCTTTCTGTGTCCGTCAAGACCCCTCATGGTGTATCGAACAAGAAGCGTTTCGGGTATTCTAGTCGTGTGCCCCCCGCTCTTAAGTGGACCAATCAGACCATCTTACTTACCTTGGATAGTGAAGCACCCCTGAAACGCAAGCGGGGTCGCAAATTCAACGGTACACTTTCTAGAAGACATGCCGAAATTACATTGTATGCCTCTCTCTCTATCTGCGTGTGTTGTCAGGCTCGCTGACCCAGGGCGAGTGGGGCCCTGATTGTCGCCTATACATGAGTGATATCGGCGGCGGCATCCGGGCGCTTGAGCGGACCTCGAACGACGACATCGACGAGGAAAACCTGATCGAAATCACCACCACCATGGTCCGTGAGTGGAAAAATGCCTTTGAACAGCTGTCAACCAACTGTGGCATGCTTCAGGAAAAATACCCTGGCCACGCCATCACTGGCTTCGGATGTCAGGCTAACCCAAGGGCTAACATATGAAACCATGTTGCGTTCTCCTGTCCCCTGCCTATCTCAGTTGACCCCTTTGGCGACCCTGACGATCCAGAGATCTACGTGGCACACGCTCCCATGTTCCAGTGGGTACGACACGAGAGAGGGACCCGGCCAGGTGCACACGTGGATTTTCCTCTTTCTAGCAGGGAGGAGACTGCTTCAGCCAAGAAAACGACACCGCCGAGTTCCTCGGTGTGTTGAGTAAACTGAAGGGTCAGTGTAGGCACACATGCAGACACGGATGCACAGATCACTGCTGGTGGCGATGGTGCACCAGGTCCCCCTGACTTCAAGCATCATGAAGTGGTGCTGGACGGCCTGCCCATGTCCAACCACGACCACGGCCTGAACGGCATATCATTCGACAACAGCGGCAACCTTTACTTTCCCATCGGTGCCATGACCAATATAGTACGGACACGCGCTACACTCACATCGCTGGCCATGCCTTTCGGATTGTCATCCGTCATGTTCATCCGTGCTCCTCCAGGGCTGGCCCGCATGCATCCTTGGCGGTTTGCCAGAGAGCCACTACTCAGCTGCCATCATCAAGGTGGAGTTGAGGAATCCAAAGCGCTCCAAAACGCTGGAATGGGTCGACTACTTCACAAGAGAGCTCATCGGGAACCCCAACCAAGTCAGTGGAATCCGACAAATTCGCGTGGCAATCCAGTTCGTATTGTGACATTTTTGCAGTTGGTTGCAGATACGTACGATGTGGCCCCGTGGGTCACGGGCGTGTATCCCCACTCATTTGGGTTCCGTAACGCCTACGACACGGTCTATACGACAAAAGGGCAGCTGTGGGCATCTTCAAATGGCTGGAACGAGGGCTACGGCCTGGCAATAAACGGACCACCGGAGTCGGGCTGTACGTTCGACGGCTGGGATAAGTCGAGCTTCGCGAGTCCGGACAGAGGCGAGGCTTTGGACGGGGCGACCGGGGCGGAAAGATTTCATGTCAATGGGGTGGCATTCACGTGTCATCAGGCATAAATCCGTTTTGGAAGGGGGAGAAGAAGTGCCGGCCAGTGTTGGAAGAAGACTGGACTGACCCCGATCGCATCTTCCAGACCTTTTCCAATGCCTACCACGGTCTTCCAAACGCCGCACGTGCCCGCAACATGAAGGACGACCGGCAGTGGTACGTCAAGGACGCCGACGCCCCACATGACCCACCGAGGTTCCACCAGGGGTATCCATGGGAGTCATCCACTAACGGAATCGCCGAGTTCAGGGGTACAAAGCAGATCGGCACTGCATTATCCCCTGCATCCAATCCTTCCAGGCAATTGCTTTGCCGGAGCCATGCGTGGCGACTTGCTGGGCGCCAAGTGGAGCGGCTGGATCTGGCGGGTTGACATTCCCTACCTGGACGAGGAGGAAGGAGACGACGTTACGATTTCAAAACTCGAGGGAGCTGAAGTTGGCGGACTGGAGGTACGCACGATGCAAAGGGAGACACACGGACACGATACGCATGGTTTGCAGGTGGTGTACGGCCCAGGGTGCAGTATCTTGACGTTGGATTACACGCACAACAATCTCAAGCACATCATGGCCGACGACGAGGACGCCAACTCTAACTCCGGACCTACGGCATTCGGTGAATGAAGATGCCATTTAAATGGCTTGCTCCGACGCTCATGCATGTCCGTACGCTTGTCGCTCGGTCGCTTAGACATCACACCCTGGAGGGGCAACTACCGATTCGCACAAAAGATCGTCATCGGTAAGTGAGAATGCACGCACTGCCTTCATGTTACGGATGGCATCTGCGTATGCAGGTGGCTACAATTTGAACGGCCAAGGCGAGACGAAGCCTCCGATGCACCGTAAGGCCAACAAATTGGTCATCGATGGGGTCGAGTGTAGCATCACCTCTCAAAGCGTAAGCACAATAGAGACTTACTCACGTCGTGACTTGGTGCCTGTCTGCGTAGGACACACGTATCGAGGGTGTGGTTCCCGCTGTGGAGAGCCCTGCTCACGTTGAGGAGCTCGTGGATGTGGTCTTGCACTTCAATGATGGCACAGAGTCGGTACTGCTGGACTCGTGGCTCTGGGCTGACCCAGGCGATGCAATCAACTAGACATGCAAGCCAACAAGACATTTGAGAAGCACAAAAGGAGTCTCTTTTGGGCTCGTCCGCCTGGCGAGATGAGAGAGTACTTTTCCGATGGAGATGTGATGATTGAACAGCTTTGGGATTGGCGTTTTCGTGTTGTGATGTGCTGTCCACCACGAAACACCGCAATGTCATTCGGACCAGAGCCTTGGCGAAAGCCAAGGCTCTGATGAGCCAGCCATCAATCAAACACCCGGAAAAAAGGGGAACCGGCTTTGTGTCCTTAACCACATTCGGTGACTCATTCATATGTCACATCACGAAAGCCGCCGATAAAAGAAGCCACAAGACTACCCATAGCGGACCTTGAGCTGATCCTCTTCAGGTACCGCACAAGCGTGGGTGAGAAGGTCTGTGTGACTTCTTCTGGGTCTTGTGGCGTTCGCGTTCCGTCTTTGAGCTTGTCAGGCCTCCAAGAGGCAGAGACGGGCCGGCGTGAACTGTGCGCCACTTCGGCTCACGATATTCGGCGTGCGTGTCGAGCTGTCGTGTCGGAGCAGAGTCATTGGCGCCGTGCCCTGTCGTGTCCAATCACTGGCCACAGGCTACTCGACGACCGATTGACGCACGTCCGCCACCAGGTGACTGGTCAGCCCAAAAAATGACTTCGCTCCCATGTATTTGTTTGCGTCTGTCTCTCTTCTCAGTGCTCCTTTGGTTTCCGCTCTGTCATCGACGGCTTAAACTGAGAGCGGCGTTGATCTCTTAGGCACAGATCAAATGTGGCGCGCCAGGGCCAACCAGGGCCCCCCAACAAAAAGACACACGCACACACACAACACGCAAAAAGAACAAAAACTTGAGAACAGAGGTGATTAAAAACATCGCAAACTCAAGGGAGGAGCTGGACGGGGTGGGTGTATGGGATGTCCTTGTCGGTCTCGTTGCCGCTTTCCGTTCTCTTTGTCATCAGCTCCACATTAGAAAAACACTGTGGCAAAAGGTTCTGCAGCCTGGGTTCATTCGGCTCGGCCCTTTCGGGGCTCCCCCAACGACACCTGTTAGGCGGTAGGCTTCGCCCGAACGTGTTTGACCCCGAAAAACGGAAGGTGATACATCAAAGAAAATCGCGCATGTCTCTCGCCATTCATTCATTCATTCATTCCTGCCTTCACGAACACGGACGCACATTGACCCGCAGCAAACCCACACAGCCGCTGATTAGAAAATATCGTCGTGTAGGGAGGGGCAGACAAGCGATGCGATGCGTGTGTGTGACGTGCCTGCCTGTGTCGTGTATGCTTAATGCGTAAGGTAGCGTAAGGGAAGGACGGACGGACAGAGCGATGTCTTGGCCGATTCACGGACTAGCTGTGTACGTCTTCTGCCGGACTCTGCAAATGCGATTATTGAGTCATGAGCTAGGCAGGCAAACAAGCAAAACAGACGGGCCACAGGTAACTTAGTATTCCGCATTTGGTGCGTTCGGGCCTTCCTCCTCCCCTCCTGGAGATATGTATAATAGCCTGGCGATATATATATATAAATATACATCCCTGTTCTCCCCTCTCATTCATTCATCTAAGGCAGCCGTGTTTTCACCATACAGAGAGAGACGGCCACACGAAATGAACAAACCAACCCATTCCTCCAACACAGACTTCACGTATATGAGTGCCTTGGTGCACTGCGCCATGGCATCATACTCTGACTCACATGTACCCTATGCAGCAGTGGGCTGGACGCGCCATCCATGAACACCACATGACCATCAGTCGACTTTGCTCCTGGCTGGTCAGTCAGTGACGCATCAGCATAGCCATCCAGATTGAAACAGCCATACGCATGTCATCCACATCCACTGTGTCCCATTCACCGCCAGAAAAAGTGATCCCTAGCTCCCGTGTCCCCTTGATGTGACGCAGCACATGATTACACGCATGTACATGAACAGGTGTTGGTGCAACCAACACACGAGCAGCACGGATCACGCAAAGGACAGATAAGGCAATGAACAGTTCGTAGTTGAGAATCTGGGTGATGTGAGTACCTTTTTGGCCGTGTCCCTCCGGTCCCTCTCTGAATACTTCTGAATATTTTAATGTGCGTAGTGATGCGTACTCACAGGGGAGCTAGCGAAGATAGCTGGCTTCCCGTATCGATCTGTAGTCGGCAGGACAGGCAGGGATGTCGGGTCGCTCATCATGGATAGCGGAGGCAAGAGTGCAGTGTTTTGTCCAAAACGTTACATGTATAACGGCTGCGGATTTGTCAACTCGCTTTTTCCAGACATACGAATGGCATTGAGGCTGCGCAATGTGGCAGATTACAAGCCCCTGTGCCATTGCCTCGAGGGCAAAAGGCTGTTGTGCAAGGACGATGGTGACAGGAAGGCCCCGAAGCCGAATGAGGCTCTCGTGGCCCTGCTGCTTATTCGACTGCGACAGCTGCTTGATCAGGTCGAAGAGAAAGCAATCGACCTGTCATCCACGTGTTGCGTGGAGCTGAGCATTGGGAAAGCTCTCAACCTCGAGGCTCAGGGACGGAAGGCGAGCCAGGAAGGCAAGTGGGTGTCGGGAGAGGTGCGTTTCAAGACCGCTGGTGCGCTTCAAGACGAGAACCGATCGTAAGACGTTCAATTTGGCGTAAACCCGGCCCCTGCTTCGGTTTCTTGCGCTTTCAGGTGTGTCAACATGCCACTCGTGTGGCGGTACGTGCAGGCTGCGATTACGTGACTGTCGAGACACGCATGTCCACCCATAGAATACCGTTGCTGCTTTCTTCGCATTTCTGGCTTCAGGCTGCTGTGTGGCGGCTCGTCGTTGGAGCAGGCCACAGCGCTGAGCACCGCCGCGGCACCTGGATTCACTGGAAACGAGGTGAACTGTCCAGCCTGCGCTGCCTTCTCAGTAGGGCTTGGCAACGGTGTCGATTCGCCGATGAGCCGCCGCCTCCCGAAATGGCTGGTCAATATGACGGATGAGCTGTCGAAAAGGACCTTCAGGTGACATACCATTTTGATTCAAAACCATTGAGCGTGCCGTCATATGATCTGCCCTGGTCGTGGTTGTTAGGTTGGAGCTTTTCCTGCACCGCTTGAGACGCACCTCTGCACACGGTCTCATCGAAAGCAGCGGCGACTTACCGGTGTACCGCATCAACCACGTCAAGGTCAGGTTCTTACAATAGGAGCGGAGTATCTTACTTTACTTCTCTGCAGGCGATGGCTCGAAAAGCCCTCCACTTCGTAAGACTCGTGTCCGATGGCTACGGGAACGAGGAGCACAAATGTTTGGACTTTGGCATTCGACGCCACGTGTGAGCCACCCGAAAGTATAACCCCATTTCCGCACCTGTACATACTGGTAGTGTATAGAATACATGAAGAGTAGACCGGAAACCATGTGTGGAATCGGAATTGAATGAAGCCGCATGAACATATAATTCCCTATTGCCACCACCACCACCAAACCCCTGCCTGACACCTGGTGCGTGACCGACGAGGGCGTGACTGTTGACATCGTGAGCAAGCGCACACCAAACCGCACACCAAAACTTCTAGTTTTGCAAATGCTTGTTTACCTATCCATGTATTTGTACACGCAGGAGAATTTCGATAGCTTCGAGCTTATAGAAAGAATTGGCACTCAAGTAATCGCCGTTGAAGACACGAATGACTTGGGCGTCACAACTGTCCAGGTCGGCACCAGCGGAATACAGTAAGCCGTCTGGGCTGTAAGATTCACCGTCATCTATATCGAGGGGGCAGGAGCTCAGCCAGTGATGGAAACGGCGACATGTGCAGTCGGCGTGGCAGGGTGAGGTGCCATCACTTCGGTGTTTCCTGTCGTCCGATGGTTTCCTTTCTGTGTTTTGAGAAATGGATGTCGACAACACCCTCTCGCTGTCTTTTTTTTTTTCCCTGAGCGGTCCGCCTGTCTGTCTGTCTGTCTGTCTGCACGAAATGGTAAAGTGGGTGCATGGTTCTGCTGACGTCTGCATGACGTCGCGTTCTGACATGCTCCAGAAACACGAGTGTCATTTCCAGCGGGGGCCGGTGTCAGTTGCGTGTGCCCATCCCGACGCAGCAAAGCAGAAAGGTAGAGGGAAGGGGAGAAAATAACACGTGTCGAACAGCTCCTCGTCGTCAGCACGTCCACATCACCAGGTCGTCGTCCATCATGGCCACCATCTCCGCTCTTCACCGTCACAGATGCACCACCAGCTCGAACCCCGACACTGAAGCGGTATTGGCCGAGTGCAGCTTTTCTGTAGCTGATTCCGATGCGGTTCTGCTTGGACAGGTCAAGACGTCATTGCCGTCACGTTGCGCGTCTTCCAGCAGATCTTGAGGTGGCTCTTCCGATCTCAAGCACGCTCCCACCCATCATTCACAAAGGCAGTCACAGAGGCAGTCACAGTCAGCGCATCAGTGAGTAAAGCCAATGGGCGCGGTGAGCGCTTCTTCTACGGAAGGGAATGTCTCCCTACCAGCCTCACTGCCTCGCGTGTTGTGCTGTGCATGGCAAAGCCTCACACACCGCACAGGTGCGAGGAGGCTTAGGACGTTTATCGTGGTGGATAAGTGCATGCAAGACTCAGGCGTGGTGGTCACAGCAATGAATGGACCATCACACTCGTGCTGGCAACATCTCCGCAAAAATCAAGGAGGCTGCGAGAGTCTACAGATCTACGGATAGAGACACTCCAACCAATGCAGATGTTCGTGTCACGTTGGTTTGCACTTAATACATGAAACATTTTTCCTTTCTCAACTCACGCAACTGGCGTGACCATTTTGTGAAGAGTTAGGTTTCATCTCAACGGCTACCCTATGCTGCTCAATTCAATTCTGGAACACGGGAGATGCTGACATCTTCCTCCCTTCATCAACGCAGCGGTATATCATTAATGATGAGGCGAAATGCTCTTCAGTGTCATGTTTCTTCTCGTGTGTTGAGTGTCGGTGTGTCATTTCAAGTCATCCTGCGTCTCCGGCTGCTCTAGTGATTCGCACTCGAAGTTCTTCTCGCTCCAGAAATTGATGACACCATTCTTTGCGTTTCATTCCCCGAAAGACTTCAGCACTTTTCCAAATGGTATTGTGGCGTGGTGTGAAAGTACGTTAACTCATAGCGCAACGGCAGGCAGAGTCTGTCGGTCTCTCATGAAATGAACTGCGTCAACATCGACCACCCCTCAATCATGCGACAAACATGCCAGCACCATCCTCAGCGCCCGCCTGGCGTATCTTCCAGCGGCGCCGCCCACCACGCTCACACATACTCGCACTACGCGCCAACGCAAGAGACAGACGAGCACGAACCCACCCCATCACCTGGCCATACGACTTCTCTGCCCACGCAGCCTTGGTGCGCAGCTTCTCAACCAGGCGGCTGAAAAAGCCATCCACCGTGACGCACAAGGGGGTGAAGTGGATGAACTTGTCCTCGCACACACGGCTGTGGTGGGCCTTCTTGGCCTTGGCCCTGGTCTTGAGAATGGAGGCGGTCGATTGCTTGCGGTAGGACGGTGCGTCAGCGTTGTCACGCAGAGGTCAAACGACACGTCCTTCTGGCGCTCCCACACCCCTCTCACCACCATGTCCGTCCGCACCTCTTTCTCCCCCTCCTCGGGCTCCACGATCACCCCCTCCTTCCTGACCGCCGACTCGCCCCAAGCCTTGGCAGAAAGGTCGCACAGCACGTCCACCACCTCGTTGTGCCGCCGAATCACCAACCCACCCACCCCACAGTTGAGGGCGTGGTCGAGCGAGTATGTAGCCCCGCAGCCGTCGCAGTGGGTGGGCATCTTGGGACGCTCATAGGCGTACCGGATGGCCATGTTGTCGCGGAACTTGTCAGGCGTCATGTCGGTGTGGTCCTCTGCGTCAGGCCGGCAAGTCACCCACCCGGCCGTCTTAACCTCGATCGCCCGGTGGACCGCCCGTCGTCTCTCTGGGGGCAGCTGCTCGAGGCCGTCCTCGAACCGCTCCTTGGCTGCCTCATCGGTCGCCCGCCGCCCCTCCTTGACCGCTTGCTGCATCTCGGCGTGGTGCTGGAAGGGGTTGAATGGAGGGCCGTCGGGTGGGTCGCCGTTCTGGATGGTGGACACCAGTAGGGAGGTGCCCTTGGTGGATGTCTCGTATGCCACCGCCACTCGCTCCGTCGGGTCCCTCACCCCCATCCCCCCATGACGCGCAGGCAGCATCATCAGCTGGGCCTCAGTGGCGGTCACCGCATGGCTGGAGAGCTGGGTGAGGTAGTGGGTGAGGGCATCTCGCAGCGGCTCGTATGTCGCCCGCTCCTCAGGCATCACCCCCACTCGGCCTGCAGTATTGTGGCGTGGTGACGCCCCCACCAAATTTTCCCGACGGGTCTGCGTTATCATGACGGACAGGCAGCACCCACACACGGAACCATTCGCGGTCTGTTGTCGTTTCTCTGTGTGTCTATCCTCCCTCACACGTGTGCCCAGATGTACGTTGTCCGAGGTATGCCGTCGGATCCAGTATTGGCTTTTTTGATGTATGTGAGAACCACAGCAGCACACTCGACAGGCAGGTGAAGAGAACAACGCTCTGCTTCATTTTACCAAACCCCACCCCAACTGCCGCTTGACAGTACTGTAGTGTGCTGTGCGTGAGGGAGACCGTTGAGTGAGAGAGAGGATGGCGCGGACCAAGGGGTGGCCATCACGCTCTCGTTGAGACATGTGATCATTCAATGTGCTGTCTCTGCAGCTATGATCGATGAGGTGGAGACCCTGCCTGTTGGCTGCCCCAGGGAACCAGGCGATGGCGGGGGTCCAATTGGAGCGTTCGAGAGCTTCACGACTTCATTCGACTGTGGTCGACAGACCCCAGATCCGCAAGAGTGTGACGTCCCACTGTCCCTGAATGCTCGGCGGAGGCTGCATGCCGGCCTACGTCCTACTCTCATTTTCTCGGCGACGGCTCTCATCTTTGCTCATAACCCCCCCTTTGCAATAAGTTTCAACCTGGGATACCATGGCTGGGGTACGCATAAAAGGAGTTCACGTCAGCTGTATGAGCTTTGAGCATCTCGGGCGCTGAAGCTCGCACCCGAAATGGAGCTTGCGCCCGAGATGGAGCTCGCGCCCTCAGAGAATGTCTGACAGGAGCTGACACACAGAGAGGCATCAGATTTGTCAGAGAGAAATACACTGACTCAAGCGCAACGGCAGGCAGAGTCTGTCGGTCTCTCATAAAATGACCTGCGTCAAACGACCAACCCTCAATCATCCGGCAAACATGCCAGCACCGTCCTCGCGCCCACCTGGCGTATCTTCCAGCGGCGCAGCCCACCACGCACACCCAAACAGGGGCAGACCCGCGTCTTGCACCAGTGGTACTGTTCCGGTTCTTGTTGCATGGGCAACACCGCACAGGACCAGCGGCTGGCTGCAAGGGCAAGGACATGGCGAGACATCGTCTCGCAGCACTGCAGAGACGCCCTGCTGAGACGGCGGGAGCTGATGGGCTGAGTCTGCTGAGACCGATTCTGCACTCATTCTGTGTCAAAGGCTGAGCAGGCTCTTGCTGAATTCTGGAAGCGCCGGAGCGCCAATGTTTCACGGAACATTATCCGTTCACTGGCTGGAGCTAATGCAGAGCTCACAGTGGACTGTGCAGTGTATCAGTCCAAAAACCTTTCCTGAGTTGCAATGGCCCATCGACCAGCCACGCGATGAGTTCGCGCCACACATATCAACACCCCCTCTCGCGACTCGGCGCGTGTGCTCACTGCAAAGGCACACATGTCGCGGATGGCTCCTTGCGGGCGTCAGCTGGTCGTTGCTCCTGGTTGGCCCAACCCACCAATGACCAACCATACTGGCAGTGAGAGCGCTCGTGCATCGTACGAGAGTGCGTGGGACTCTCCACATGCCAGACCATCACAGGAACGTTGTGGAACGTTGTGTGCACAGAGTAACTCATTCACTCCTGTGCAGCAGAGGGCGGGAGCCCGTCGCTGTTGCCCCCACGCGAGATGAGACGCCTCCTGCGTCTGCCGCCACGCGGCCTGCGTAAACATGGCCTCTCGCGTCTCGGTCCATCACCAAATTGGACCTTTCGGCCGACTTCGGCTCGCAGGGCAATGCTCCCCCTCTCAAGTTCAGACCCATTTGGCCGTAGGTCAATGAACTTCGAGCACAAATAGTTGTGTCTCGCTGCTGGCAGGGGTTTGGTCAAGATGTCGGCTGGGTTTTCCTTCCCGTCCACGCGACAAATCTTGAACCCCTCCACTTCGACTGTCTGTCTCAGCGCCAGATAGTCAAGACGAATGTAGTTCTTCCCTTTCGTCTTCTTCTCTTGGGGATGGGCCGTCAGCGTCCTCGCTGCGTCATTGTCCGTGTACAACTCCACCGAACTGACCTTCCTCCCGAGTTCCCCCAGGAACTCCTTGAGTGCCAGCAGGTGTTGCGATGCATTGTACAGCGCGACATACTCGGCCACCATTGTGCTCCCCGTTATGTAGGTCTGCTTTTTGCACGATCACGAAACCAGACAGTCATTGAGGAACGTCAGGTATCCACCTGTACTCGTTCCGTCCTCATTGTCGCCGAGACTTGAGTCGGCGTAGCACGTCAGCCTGATCTCATCTGTGCCAGACCGCTTGTACACAAGGCGAGCATCCATTGTGTCCTTCAGGTAGCGCATGAGGTGCATGAGTGCCTTCCAGTGCCATTGGCTCGGGTCATTGTTGTGCATGGCACACTCCTTGACGGCGAATGCGCAGTCTGGCCTCAATGCGCACGCCTCGTACGTCACTGAACCGACGCCTTCTCTGTATGGCAGTCGATTCATGCGCTCTCGCTCTTCTTGTGTCTGAGGAGACTGGTCCTTGCTCAGTCGGTGCGTCTGCGGGCATGGTTGACTGACGGGCTTAGCTAGTAGCATTCGGTACTTCTCGAGCATCTTCTTGATGTATGGTGCATGCGAGAGTGCCATTTCGCCCTTGTCAGCGTCATAGTCGACATCCAGTCCGACAAATGACTTGATCTTGCCCAGGAAACGTGCCTTGAAGCGAGTGAGGATCATCTGCATGAACCACTCTGGGTCATTGTCGCCTTTGGTGGGAGCCCAGAAGATGTCGTCAACAACGACAGCCACTCTGAGGTCTCTCTCCCGCAACACAAAGACACATGGATCACTCACGAGCTGCTCAAACATGAGCTGCTTCAAGTAGTCCGTCAGGCAGATATTCCATGCGCGCGGTGCTTCCTTCAGCCCGTACAGAGCCCTCAGGAGGAGGATCACCATTCCTACCCCCTCTGGCCCGTAGCCCGCTGGCACCGCCATGTAAACAGGCGTGTCCAAAGGCGCACTCAGGAACGCATTGCTCACGTCGAGATTGAAGATGTCGCGCCCCTCCTGCACCTCCAGTGCAAAGAGTGTGCGAATCGTCGACAGTGAGAGTGTGGGAGCATACGTCTCCCCGACCTGGTTCGGATCCTGTGCGAATCCCTTGATCACCAGTCGCGCTTTGTAGCGTCCGTCTGCCTTGATCTTGAACACCCACTTACATGGAATGACCTTTCCTTGCGCTTGAGAGGCAGCAACCAACACAAAGACACCCTTGTCTTTCATGGCCTGCAGCTCCTCGTCGATGGCCGCGTGCCACTTAGCTTGCTCCTCTGGTGGGAGGCTCGCTATGTCCTCGAACGTCAGTGGCTCAGTCGGCTTGGCAGTGTCAGTGTCATTGCCTCCCTCGGCATTTACAAACGCCGACGACGTAAACACGAAGTCACTCGCGTCGTTGGGCAGACCGACAAAGTCCTTCAGGTCAACCCAGAAGGAATCAGTGTCCTGCTCTGCATCCGACCACTGCTCTGCTGCGGGTTCCGCCCGCTCATCGACGCAAGGATGGCAGTTCTCGTTGGCCTCTTCGTAGGCTTCTGGTGGCAGGATGCCCACCATGGGCTCCTCTGTCTGCCATGTGTGACTACAGTGAGAGCATTTGTGAGCCCTCCTTGGCTTCCACAAATCGACAGCGAGTCTCTGACGTTTCTTCACCAGATGGACGAACCGACCCTCCTGGCCAGGCTCTCGAACCACCTTTGAGCAACGGGGACAGGAGAGTGCATCATCACAGCGCCCGTCGTGAGCTCTCTTGGCCGAGAGAGCCCCGAACATCGCACCGTCCGACGCTCTTCCTCCAGCCTCATCACTCATCGGCTGCTCGCCTCTGGTTGGACTGCTTGGAGGTTGCTGAGGCAACGGGGGATCTTGCAGTTCTGCCTGCTGCTCACCCTCTCCATTGATGGGCGGATCAGACGGGAGCATCTCACGAAGAGACGCCTCACTCATCGGATCTCCCTCAACAGCATCCTTTTGCATCGTGTCAGTAGAATCCACGGCAGCAGACTCGCCTCTCGGGCGGCGTTGTCGCTTCTGCAACTCTGGCGGCAAGCCCTGCCAACGCTTCGGTCTCAGTCCGTATTGCCCCGATACGTCCTTCCTTGACCGTATAGTCGTGTTGTCGACGAACTCCGGCATCCCCCCTCTGAGCCATGCGTCCTCGCTCGATGGCTCTTGCAGAGGCCCAGCAGGCTGACCAGTGTCGCTCTGATCCAACCTGGGTTCCTGGGTGTCAGGTGTCCCATCCTGTGCTTGGTGCGGCAGAGGCTCAGGAGACACGCCAACAGGCCGATACACGTCGCCCGTCACCTCCCCCTCTCGAGTGTGGAGGTGTGGATCTACTGATCGATGCAGCTTTCCTGTGCGGTAGAATGAGCAGTTATCAAAGACTGTCTCCTGTACCCTCGCAGTAAAAACTCGCCTCTTGTGAGGCACGTAAACCAAGCATCCATCTTTTGTGCTGGGAGCGTAGCCAAGGTACACACCTTTTTGTGCCTTGGGTGTGAGTGGACCACCCGGCCTCGGACCCCCGGAGAGTGGTTTGGGGATGTGCATGTAGCACATGCACCCGAACACATGCAGCCCGGTTTTACACAGCAGTGTAAAGTTGGGCTTCTCGCCATGATACAACTCGTGCGGGGTTTTCTCATGCTCATTCGCCGAATGAGGCATGATGTTCCGAACAAAAACGGCGTGCCTGAAGGCATATGGCCAGAAAATCAACGGCAGAAAGGCATGAAGAAGCATCGCCATCGCGATGTTGCTGATTGATTGGATGGCTCTCTCAGCAACTCCATTTGACTGCTGATGGTGCGGGACGATCTTCTGAATGACGACACCTTGCTCGACAAGGAAAGCTTGCGCTTCTCCTTCGACGAGCTCCTTTGCATTGTCCGCTCGGAACGCTCTCGGCTTGCCCTTGGCAGACACATCAGCGAGGAGGAGCCGAAGGGCTCTCACAGCGTCTGATTTGTGCACGAGAGGGTAGAACCAATGATAGCACGTTGCGTCATCCACGAAGAGTACACCATAGCGGTAGTTGTGCAGAAAGGGTGCGCGAGGCAGATCTGTCTTCATGTCCCCATGCACCAAATCCAACGGTTGAGTGGCTCGTGACTGAAGCGGCACCGGTTTGTGAGGTTTGCGGCGACTCTTGCTCAGCACGCAAGGCTCACACGGGCCATGGATCTCAATCTCACGCTCAGTGAGTGGGGTGATTGTCAGCCCCTCGACCCGTCCATCGGCCATGGATGGCACGACCCTAGGGCAAAACTTAATCCTGGCAAACCCAAACTCTTTTTTCTAGCTTTTCCTCAGTCCATCTTTCCTCTTCCACTCGCAGCAGTGTTTGTGTTCCATCAGACAAACATCAGGTCAATTTCGGGATGCTAGAACTGTCACAGGAAAGAGAGAACATTCTCAATACTTTTTTCCTCCTCAATCAACTGCCCGATTGTGTCTCTGAAATAAAAAACTCTCGCACCGCAAACCTGAGTCATAAAATCAAACATTTTCACAATACCTAGACAACCCAAACTAGTCAGCTTTCAAAGGTTGGTTTCTCGAAAAGTTAGAAAACCTAACTAGTTAGCTTTTCTAGGTTTCGCACTTTCCGGGGGGGGGAGGGAGGAGGGCCTATTGGCCTACCGCCACTACAAGATAGTCTGAAAGTTAGATAAGCTGAGTACTTAGCTTTTTCAACTATCCATTCATCCGTCTCTCCCCCTTTCTCTCCACCCACCCACAAAAAAATCCTAGATAACTGACTGGTTAACCCACTTTTTTTTTACTCCAAGTAGTCAATACACCGACACACACATCTCAACGAATCAAAGCTTTCGTAGGGTTTTAGGGTTTCTCGTAGGGTTTTTCGCGCCCGTGGGGGGAGCGCGCCGAAGGCGCGCGTCCCCCGCGGCCGAGAAACCCTAAACCCTACGCGAAGAAACCCTAAAACCCTACGAAATTTAGGGTTTAGGGTTTCCACGGGAGGGGGGCTTAGGTTAGGTTGGAGGTTAGACAAGCTGACTAGTTAGGTTTTCTGACTCTTCATCCATCTCTCTCTCCCCCCTTCTGTCCCGCTTTCCCTTCCCTTTCCCTCTCCCAACCCCCACCCCTCCCCCCCACCCCCCCCCTAGAAAAAAGCCTGAAAGTTAGATAAGCTGACTAGTTAGGTTTTCTAACTCTTCCCCTCTCAACACCCCACCTGTCCGCCCACCTACATAAAGTAGAAAACCTAGAAAACCTAACTAGTCAGCTTTCACATGTTGGTGTCACGACAAGTCAGAAAACCTGACTAGTCAGCTTATCTAACTTTCAGGATTTTTTGTAGGGGGTGGTGGGGGGGAGGGGTGGGGGTTGGGAGAGGGAAAGGGAAGGGAAAGGGGGACAGAAGGGGGGAGAGACAGATAGATGAAGGGTTAGAAAACCTGACTAGTCAGCTTTCACAACTTGATGTCTCTGCAAGTCAGAAAACCTGACTAGTCAGCTTATCTAACTTTCAGGCTTTTTTCTGGGGGTGGGGGTGGGGAGGGAATTGGGGTAGGGTTGGCAGAGGGGGTGGAAAGGGGGAAGGCACAGATGGATGACGAGTTAGAAAAGCTAACTAGTCAGCTTATCAACTTTCCGACTATTTTCTACGGAGGGTGGCATGCTAGGATGACTTTGCTTGGAGAAGCTGGGGTTCCCCGTCCTATGAGCCGACAAGTCGACAAATATGAGGCCTTCTGCAGGTTGTTGTGCGGAGAGACATTGACATGCTTGAATTGCTCGCGTGTGAACAAATGTTTTCTGTTTCGTTCTTATGATTTACAGGAAACCTACGGCTTTAGCGTGAAACACATATGACCTTCATGAGACCTGACAAGTTCTGCGCACTCTCAGGATTAAGTTTTGCCCTAGGTTCGTGCCATGAGCCCATGGATGGGATGGACGGAGAGGCAGCAAGATAGACAGACACAACACCTATATTATCTGACCCAGCGAAGGAAACAAACACGCGTATGTGCCTGTCTCTCTCACGTACTGCATGCCCGGCCCGCTGATCATGAGTAGCAAAAAAGACGCCCCACGTGCACATGCATTCATTGTACAGCCTAGCCTGCCTTACGACACAGTCCTGCCCTGCTGATGGATGAGAGGCAGAAGCCACAAACTGTGACCAGCCCAAAAGGCTAAAGGACCGATGTACGCCACATGCCACACGTCGGCCGGCCTACATCGTCGTCCATCCATCGCCGCTGAGCCTCCAAGAAATGCTGCACGAATGAGAGACACAGTAAGTACACCGGGCCAATTAGTGTGACAGTAATCACCTGCGAGCACCAATCGCCGTTGATCCATCGATCACGGCAGCCTGAACTCGTCAATCTCCGGGCATTCGAAGCAGTCGGTGATGAACTCCGTCAGCATCAACGCCACCGTGCCTAGTACACACAAGAGACACAGACAAATGGTGCGTGCGATGCCTGACGGCTGGCTGACCGACCCACCGATTGTGAGGCAGGTGTCGTATGGCGGAGACTGAAACTGCTGGATGAGCGCATCAAACTGCTCACGAGTCCCTGCACACACACACACACACACACACACGCACACACAGAGAGAGAGAGAGAGAGAGAGATGTGTCACCGTTGTTCATGTCTCGTTGAATCCACGACTCACCCGCGAATCTCCCCCCATCAGTCACGGGCTCCCCCCAGCAGATCATCTTGTCGCCATTGACGTCAAAGTCCCGGAAGACCTCAAACGCATAGCGACACCGCTTCTCATCACACGTGCTCGACCGCTCCCCGGCCTCACCCCCGTTCCAGAACTTGCTCGACTTGCACGCATCCAGCCGCCGCATCATCTCGCGAAAGTCCTCTGGAAGACTCTCATCCACAAGCCGGTTGGGCGTGCACACGGGGTTCAGAGAGGCGTCGAGGTACTGGAGGGTGTCGTCAAGTTGAGTCATGCAAGGTGGCAGGTTTGTGATGTCGTTGAGCCGCACATCCAGCTGCCTCAGTGCCTTGAGGCCACATACACTGTCGGGGACGGTCCGGGAGGGCCACCGCTGGTATTGAAGGACGAGTGACTCTAGCTTGGGGAAGCAGCTTCTTTCCGTCGGGTAGCCCCCTCCTCCCGTTGTGAACCGGGCGAAGACCAGGTGCGGGTGCCGGTCGACATAGCTAGGGTCAACCGTCACCCTGAGGTCATCGCGGCTCACCGCCAAGTCACTCGTGAACACCAAGCCCTGCACCCAACAAATCTTTGCATGTTGGAGATGTACATGTGTGCGTGGGCGGCTGTGCGCGTTGCATGCCTGTAGTGTGGAGAATGTCCGCATGGCTTCATTCAAGAGCTCGATCTGCTCCTCCAACTCCTCCTTAGTTGACATGTCCTTGTGTACGATGTACCTGTCTCACACAGACGCACACAGACAGACAGACAGACAGACAGACACGTACAGACGTGGCTCGCAGCCAGACATTTCACTCATGACCGGCAATTGCACGGAAAGAAGTCAAATAAGCCATTGGGGGTTGCCCTGCCGAACGGCGGTCTCGTCTTGAAGAGACATGTTTCCCATGCTTTCACGGCGGGACACAGTGACCTGGATCGAAAGTACTGCACGATGTTGAAGGTGCCAAACAAGACGCCGGTCAGCGCCAGGATCCCCGCCAGCAGTATCCTCCAGGTGCTGTGCGCCCTCCCCAGGTCCTTCTCTTTGGGGTTGAGGAGGAATTTCCCGATGGACTTCGGGTCTTGCGGCGTCTCGTGCAGCTCGCGAGGCGTCGCTTCGGCCACCACGCTGCAGGCGCTGAGCGCCCGCCTTGGCGGCAGGGTGATGACCGTGTGGACGGTGTCTCTCTTCTTTTTCTTCTCCTCGGCGGCAGCGTCGTTGCTTTTCGTACGACCATCCAACCGCTTCTTCTTGTCGTCTCCTGCCTTATCATTGGGGGCCTTCTCCCCTGTTTCGTCAGTGATGACAGACGACCGCCGTCTGACCATGGAGGGGTGCTTGCCGGCCTCTGCGTCGAATGGGTCGAAGGAGACGGGTAGCTTGCCTTCCTCGAGTTTGGGCTGGAAGATGGCCTCGGTGATGCTGTACCGCCCGCTGCCGATCGACGTGTGGCTCGTCTTGGTCCTCTCAAGGGTCTTCTTGAAGGCCAGCTTGAACCGCAGGTAGTTCTGCAGGAACGTCACGCCGTTGAGCACACGAACGCCGTTCCATGAGGCGAGAAGGGGGACGAAGGCCGACAGGAAGTCGAGGATGCCCTTGGAGCGGGTGCCCACCAGCACGCCCTGGGAGAAGGCGCCGCTGATGTCTCCCACCAGCAAAGTGGACGATGCCGCCAGGAGGTGAATGGGGTAGCTCGTCGAGCAACTGCACAGCACACGCAGACGACAGAGAATGTACACTGTGTATATGATACACTTGGTCTTGGTGCCTCTCACATGAGTGCCGTGACGATAGCCCAGCCTCTGTTCCTGACTACCAGGACCGAGATGGACGTGGCGCATGAGTGGAGAGCGATGAGCAGTGCCAGGCTGAGGTGTGACTGGTAGTGGCTGGCAGGGATCTCCTGTATGAAGCTCAGCTTCGGGCGGTCGCAGTTGTCCCGCAGGGATAACAGGTTCACGCCGCCGTACTGCGTGCACGAGTAGATCTGGAGCCCGATCTCGAACATCTCCTCAACCAGAAACCTCAGCCAAAAGTAGTCGCCCTGAGACGTAAAAAGTAAGTGAGAGAGGACTCTTGCTCGAGACGTGCATGAAAAGATAGATAGCATCACAGTCAGCTCACTTTCTTTCTTACCGATGTGTAGCTGACTTTGGCCCAGCCCCGTTGCAAGAGTCGCAAGACTCGCTTGAACAAGTAGTACACGCTGAAGAAACACCAGCACCGCCTCCTCACGGGTGCGTGCTTAAGCTCCTCCCAGCTCTCCTGCTTGTCCACTTTTCGGAGGTACTCGGGCATGTCCCGCATCGACTTGCCGACGTATATCTTCCTGATCTCCCACGCCCGCACGGTCTGTCTCCAGCCGAACGTGTGCAGGATGAGGAGGCAGAGAGCCAGCAGGCTCAGGAGGGCCCAGAAGGACCCGAAGATGATCGAGCTGATCGACACCTTCTCCGAGGTGAAGGGCCTGTTGGCAGCCACCGCCTCAATGTGCTCGACAGTCGTCATCGTGTCTGTACAGTCAGCGTGAACCACACAGAGACACAACCATGCAAGCGACAGATTCATGCAATAGATAGATACGCTGCATAACGTCCTGTCTGTCTGTCTGTCTGTCTGTCTGTCTGTCTGTCTCGGCCCCCCACCGATGAGCTGGTCGCTTTTGGTGAGGTCCGGCAGGGCCGGCCCCAGCTGCTCCGCACCGATGTGCAGGATGCATATGATGAAGATGAAGACCAAAAAGAAGACGTACCCGAAGTTCAGAGGCCCAAAAATCGACCACCAGGTGGAATGCTGCAGCGGATCCTGCAGGGACTTGGGCGTCTCCCCCGGCAGCTCCCATTGTTCTCCCGTCTCCTCTTCGCAATCTTTGCCGTCTTTGAATTGGTCCAGCTCCACGGCGATCCGGAGGCTCTGGGCGCGGGAGCCAAAGCGGGAGTGGGGGGACGACAGGATGCTCGAGAGCCTTCTGGCACGCAGCACCTCGTCAGATTCTGATTCTGGCGCAGGCCCGTGCCCTGGGGCAGGGCCATCGCCCGTCGTCGGCGTCTTGGCGTGGAGTTCGTCCTCGTCGGTCTCGCCGAAGGTGCCGAAAGTTGGGTCGGGCCTGACGGGCGTGCAGAGCTCCGGTTCATGCGGCACCGGCTGCTCCCAGAATCCCATGCCTGATGACACGGGCAGGGTGTCGTCGTGACGTGGCATAGCATCGCGGACCGCCGGCAGAGAATCCGCGAAGAACGAGTCAACTATGGAAGGGGACTGCTGCGGGGGGGCCATGGAGGTTTCACGCCGGGAGAGAGTGGACAGCAGACGAAGCATGATTCCCGGTTTCGCGCGAGCTTGGTGGGGGCCTGCCGGGGGCCTGCCGTCTCTCCCTCCAAGTCCCGCTGAGCCTCCCGCGTGAACAACAATGAGCGGCAAGAGCGGGGCCCCTCCCCATCTACCAGCGCCTGTCGTGATGGTACGCCTCCCTTTCTGGCAATTCCAAAGCGTTGGATGGACGCATGTGAATGAACGTTCGTTGGCAGGGCATCGGGCCGGCACTGGCACCGGCCGTCATAGGGCACCCGGTGAGGATGGCGCCCTACTCACCACGAGATGGGTCGCCACCGTACGAAGGCACGCCCAGTCGCTGGCACTTTCAATGGAGTGACGGCGTGTTCGGTAACCGTGCAGCAGCGTCGAGTCATACGCACGGGATGGCATACATGTGATGTGTGTGTCTCTCTTGCCCTCTTCAGACTGCTTCACGGACTTCTTCTCGTGCATCTTGGGCTGCATCTTCTATCCCTCGCTGGCGGGCTTCAAGGCATGGGCCTTGGACAAGATCGACATTCTGCCGTTGAAAAAGGGTCTGCTCATCTTCCTCGGCCTGGCAATCACCGCACTCACCTGTAGGGACAGATTCCGCCACGCTCGGCATGTCTGTTCTCATCTATCTCGTTTGTCTCTTGTGTGGGCATGGGTGCAGTTGAGCTGACGATTCACATATTAGCCCTGGGCCACAACTGGCATCGACACGTCACGGACGTCTGGATCCTTCAATTCTTCTTTGCGGGCGTGTGGGTGCTGGTGAGCTCACCATTCTGGCGCGTAACAGTGATCCATCCATCCATCTCTGTGCGCCAGTTTTTCTTTCTCAACCTGAAATACCGCTCGAGAATCCGACAGTACAGTCAGGGAGAAACACGGCAGACGCCACGAGGGCTATACACATTGCCGTGCATTCCTTCGTTGTGTGTGTGAAGGCATTACATGATTGAGCCCACTGACGCGTGCGACGACGGCTGTCTTGTCTTCTTCTGCCTGGGATGCGCTGTCTGCCAAGTGGGGACCTGAGAGACACACATATATTGCACCACGCACACTCATTGTTCTTATCGCACTTTTGCATTCGTGTCTCTTGTTGCTTTGCCCGTCAATTTTGACAGGAGTACAGGCACGTGGCGAGGGCCACTGGGGTGCTGAAGGACATGCCCTTCCCCCAGCAGCCGACACCCCACTTCACCGCGGCAGCACACACCACTGCCCCTCCAGCCGTCGTCACCTACGAAGTGGAAGGGGCACAGCCGACCAAAGGCACACAGCCGTGGGTGTCGACTGGCGGCGCAGCTGCAGCGGCAGCATCTCCAGCAGGGGGAGGTGGGTTTTCGAGCCCCTTTGATCCCGGTATGGCAATAACCGTGACGGCACCACAGACGACGGGAGAGAAGGAGGGGGGCAAGTATGCTGCTCCCCCCTCATACACGTGAGAGCTCGAGAGTGCCTGTGGCTGTTAGTGTCGGCGAGAGAGAGCAGTTGAATTGTGTGCTGTGGCCGTCGGTATTCAGTGTATTGTGTATTGTGTCTGTCTGTAAGGAAGGCGGGGCCAGGCCAAAAGTGTGTTCAGCCACTCACTGGCATGTCCGCTGTCAGGCAGTCATCGAGTCTTGTTACTTACATTGACAAATGAATGAGTGTACCTACTCCACACACGACCGTCAGTCAGCACAGCGACCCCTCAATTCAATCACTCGCCCACCTAGCTATCTACAGCATGCCGCCAAAAATCTATGACCCCACGGTCAAAAATGCTGCACTGAGCATATCCCTCCCCTCCCTCCAACACCTACACCTACACAGACATCTCTCCTGTATCCACAACCCGCCTCCCGAAGTTCCTGGACTCGCTCGCCCAGCCCCTCTCCCTCTCCTCTTTCGCCCTGTTGCTCTTCGCCCACCCCACCATGATCAATCTCGACACCCTCGTCGCTATCTTGCGGGTCAAGTCGGCCTGCAGGTCGCTCACGTTGTCCAGAATCGTCTCGGATTGTTCAAGGATATAGTAGGGCAGCCTTTGTGGCTCCGCCGATGGGGCGGTGAGGAATGTGAGCGCTTCGTCGATCATGTGGTTGCAGTTGTTGGTGAAGGTCTCGTAGCGGTCCAGGCTGAACCGCGGGGCCAGCTCACGCTCCAGGTAGTCCTGACAGGCAACAGAAGGAGCAGATATGAGAAATTTGTGTCTGCCTCACTCTCTCTCTCTCTCTCTCTCTCTCACCTACCTCGAAGACACGCTGGTCGATTGTGGTGGCGCCCATGTCGTGCACGTGCGTCGGAGCCATCCCAAAGGCGCTCTCCGTATGCTGAGCAGCAACCAACACAACACAACACAACACAAACAGAGAGATCGATGATCGAGACGCCCGCCCTCCTTCTGTCTGATGTGTCCTCCGCACCTGGATATCCTTGGACTCTATGTGTGTCGAGAACCAGTACTCCCGCCCGTAGACCACCAGCCCCGCGTGCCATATGGTCTCGATGTTCTTCCGCACGAGCATGGAGATGACCGGGGCTGCACTCTGACTGATGTCGTACACACGCACACTGATAGCCGACCCTGTCACCGCATCATCGCCATCGCGGGAGCTGGCCAATGCGCCCGACGGCTCCAGAACGGATGCCGGACCGCCCTCCCTGGACGCGCTGATGACTCGGTGGGTTCTTGGTCTCTGTGATCTTCGAGAGAGGGCTGAGCTGCTGCGAGTCGGGCTGTCCGCAATGCTGCTGACGAAGGATGCGCTGTCGTGGCAGCACACCAGAGAGGGCAGGACCGCTATCAGTAGTAGAGATGAAAGATCCCAACGGGATCCTGCATTTCTCCATCTTCTGCACCGCACCCCTCTGTCCCTCCTCTCTGCAAAGTGACGCATAGCTGCCAGTCACCAGGTGCGAGCTCAGATCTTGGCGAGCTAAAAGAGGAAGATCCGAGCGGCGAAGCTCCTAAGCAGATTCTGCACAGCGATGGCGGGGCGTCTGCAGGAGATGCTCCGCGGCTTCCAGCCGCCGGCCGTGGGCGCAACTCCCAGCAGGGTGAGTGAGCAGCAGGACGGTGTGGCGCATCTGAGCATTCCTCTGAACACACACGATGTCATCTGCTGCATTGGCTCAATATATTGGTAGGTGTTGGTAGAGTTCAAGGCCGGCAAGTGCAACTGGGATGGGCAGCGGGTCACGCCAGACAAGCGGAAAGGAAACCTCAGCCTCGTCACGGTCAGCTGACACATGACAGAAGAACACGCAGCACATGGTGACACGAAACACACTGAGCATGATGGTTGTTCGCTGCGTCTGTCAGGGCGATGACGGCCTCACCCATGTGCAGTGGACCACCCGAGGCGTCAACCAAATCACTGAGGTCAGGAAGCCATCTCGCCAGATGCATCAAAGCCGTGATTGTGGTGTGTGGGCTCATGGTTCCTGCCATTGCTTCATTCAGGATGACTTGATAGTCATCAACGACGCGTATTTGGAGAAGATCACGGCTGCCAAGAGCGGCCGCGTGTACGTGTTGAAGTTCCAGTCCTCGGACAAGAAGCTGCTCTTCTGGATGCAGGAACCCGACGAGACCAAAGATGAGGTCAGTGCGCAGCACACCACACCAGGGGGGAGGGAGGAGGGCAGGGCGGGGTTACGCCATTGGTGTCTGCATGTGCCTGCAGGAGCTGATCACCAAGTTCAACAATGCTGCGGGAGGAAGTGAGTCGACACTGACTGCTCGGATTTCCCTCCTCCTGATTGATGTCTGTCTGTGCCTGTGTGTCTGTCTGTCAGAAGATTCGAGTGGCGGAACCAGCAATGCTGCTGCCGCGGCTGCTGCTGCTGCAGGTGGGTTTGCTAGAGGCCATGTACGTTGCGCTTGCATCACCCTCGTCGCCCTTGCTGTCTGTCCCTCGTTGTGTTGATGCAGCCAGCGGCGCCCCGTCAGGCGGTCCGTCGGGCGGTATGCCCCCGGCGATGCAGCAGCAGCTGCAGCAGATGATGGGCGGAGCGGGCAGAGGCGCCAGCAACGCCGCCACCACTGACCAACTCAGGTCCATCATGCAAAACTTCGCCAGCCAGCAACAAGGTAAGGTGCACAGCAGAGACCCCACAGACACGGAACCCACGGACTTGTCAATCCCCAAGCTGCCCTGTATGTATGTGTGTGTGTGTGTGTGTGTGTGTACAGGTGCGGCTGGCGCGAGTGGTGCGGGTCGTTCTGGTGCCAGTACGCTGCCCACTGCTGGTCCTGGTGGACCCATCAGCGAAGAGGTGAGATCAAGGAAGGAGAAGCACACTCGCGTAACTGACTGCTGTTGACTGACTGCTGTGTGTGCAGCAACGTGCCCAGCTGGCGCAGCAGCTAATCTCGGCCCTCGCTAACAACCAGCACCAGCAGCAGCCACGAAGTAAGCACACATACCAAGAGAGAGGACCCATGTTGTGTGCCTGGGGATGATGCCTGCCATGCCATGCCATGCAGTTCTGCCGACCCCGTTGACGTCCGTCTTGCCGCCCGAGCGGCTGGAGGCGCTGCTCGGCGACACAGAGGCCATGCAGGAACTCGCCGCACACATGCCTGAGTAAGCGAAAGAGAAAGGGGGTGGGTCGGCAGGGCAGACCAGCACCTCTGTCTCTATACCGTCACGGTATGTCTGTGTAGGGGCCAGACGAGTCGCGAGGAGGTCAATGAGGCGATGCGATCCGCCCAGCTGCAGGGCTCCATGCGGGCGCTCACACAGGTGGGTGGGAGTGGGATGAATGGGGTGAACAAGCGCACTCACAGACCGTCTCACCGCTCGATGTCATTCATGTGACATGCAGGCCATCTACTCGGATCAGTTGCCCGTGCTGCTGACGTCCATGGGGCTCGACGCCAACGCTGCGCGAAACGCCCAGACACCTGACCGTAGGCACACAACATGACGCTATCCCCCACACGCCCTACGCCGCCCGCAAGATGTGTGTATGCTGTGTGTGCACTCCAGCGATGGAGATCCTGGTCGATGCGCTGGCGGCCCAGCACGGCAGCACCGATACTGCTGCTGGTGCTGCTACTGCTGCTGCACCTGCGGCGCCAGGCGAGTCAGGCGAGTCAGGCGAGTCAAGCGAGGGCGAGGCCAAGGCGAAGGAGGACGAGAAGCCGCCCGGCGACGGGAATGACGGCAACGACCCCATGGACACGTCGTGACGAGCGAGCAGGCACTACTACAATGAGACTAATGTGCGTGGTGGGTGCAAGTGACCTTTTGTGTGTTGCGGTGTTTCCGAGGTGCATGGACACGTGCGTGGAATGTCGCTGTGACCGTTTCTTTGCCGAATGAGTCAAACAATACATAGACTGATTCATGCGATGATCGATCGACGGGAGATCGTCACTCACCCACAGGGGTCCTCACTCACGAACCCACCTGCCCCGCTCAGCCCATCACGTCTGTCTGTCTGTCTATCTGTCGAATCACTTCTTCCTGGGCTTCTTGGCCTGCTTCGGCTTGGCCGCCGGGCCCCTCGCCTTGCGCTTGCCCTGAGCAACACGACCCGCCTTCTTGGCACCGGCAGATGGGGGAGGCACTGGGGCAGTGGGTCTCGCAGCAGCAGCAGTTTTGGCGGCAGAAGATTGGGCGGGCCTCTTGGCGGGAGGGGCGGCAACACGGATGGTCGGCGGGGGCTTGGCGATGGGCGGGGGCTTGCTGGCTTTGTTGAGGGAGGGATTCATGGCTGCCGTCAAGTCGATGTTATCGGCCCCAAGCGGTTGGAAGTGGTCGTGCGTGTCTCGGTCGCCATAGTCCTCCGCCACCTGCATGTCTCGCAGGGCCGGTCCCGTGATGAAGGCGGCAGCTGCCTTGGCGGGAGAGGGGCCAGGCGCAGAGGGGACGGGAGGGGCTGGGGGCTGGATGTCGATGTTGGTCACGATGTGTGCCCTATGCAGAGAGACAGAGGCGGTGGATGCACGCGTGTGGCAATACTTGTATGTGGCTGGCCTCACTCTTCGGATGAGGCGTAGAAACGGATGTTGCTCGTGGCGCGCAGGAAGCTTGATGCGATGCTCTTGCTGTGACCTGAGACAAGACACGAACGACGTGACCGGTACGTCCTTGAGCCGGCAGCAAGTTGCGTACTCTTGGAAGCAGCAGGCAGAGGCGCCCACAGCTCGCGCCACACACAACTGACGGGCACACAAGAGAGACGCACACACCACATTCACCCATGACGAATGCATCAGTCATTGTGTTGATGTCTCACACACCCACCCGATTGGGTATGAGAGGATGAGTGAGCCGAACGACACGGTCATGAAGCGAGTCATGGCGCTCGAGGGGAGATGGTAGCCGTGCACCAAATGCCAATACCTCTCGTACCCGCCCTTGTCCTGCAACCTGCACAAGGCCATGCACAGGTGACACAGGCAGAAGTGAAGGTCTTTCCCGTGCAGAGGGTGGGTGTGGTCTGTACTCGATGGTTGGCTTGGGCACCACCCCCTCGTCGTGTATCTCCTCGAGCGTGCCCCCCGTCACCCTCGGCAGCACATACACCGTCGCACTCGTCTGAACGGCGCTCTTCGTCTGATGTAAAGGGATAAAGGGACACATCAAAGGCTATGACAGTCAGCCGCCGTGCAGTCTTACGAGTTGAGCAGCTGGATAGATCTTGCGCACAGAGGGGGTCACGCTCATGGCAGCAGAGCATCGGCCGTCGTCTGGATTGACCGACACATCCTCAATCTGCACCGAAACGCACGCCGAGTTGACCGCTGGCAGAAGGCTGTTGCTGCACACACAACCACACAACCACAAAGGCCTTTCTTCAGCGTTGCTGGACACATGAGTGTGGGCGGGTTGTGTTTCTCACCTCTCAGACATGAATGAGGTCTCAAGAAACGTCAATGAAGTGGGGTCCTGCTCCACACGAATCTGACACAAAAGACACAAAACGCAGCCAGACCACTTTCGCTCCATCGTCCCCACCACTCACCCAGGAGCTCTTGGCGAGGTGCATCTGCAGCTGGAAGGCCACGAACTGCCGGATGCTCCAGCTGCTCTCGATGGCCGCAGACAGTGTGGTGTCGTCCTGTGCGCGCCGGGCTGTCAGGGCCTTCTCACTTGCGATGTCTTGCTGTGAAAAGAAGGAGGGACAATGGATGAATCAGTGCAAGCAACGCATCTTGCTTTCGTCTTGCTCACGAGTTTTGTCACGAGTTTGTCGGTGTCCTTCTGGCTGCGTCGGCTGAGCAGCACCACACAGTCAGGCCGCTCAGGGAAGCACATCGACTCCTCCTTGCCCTTAGAGGAATTGTAGCGACGGGCAAGCTGAAATTAATGCGTGCACCACACACAACACGATGGATATGTGCGATGCTCCCCCCCAAACGGACTGCAGTCCGTGTGCACACCTGTGCAGCGTCGCACGCCACGAGATTGTGAGCGGGCTCCTCCATCTCATCCCGCTCCAGACTCAACACACACACGCGCACGGCAGCCATGTTGCAGAGGGAGAATGACAACACACCGCTGAAACTCGCCAGAACTGACAGACAAACAGAGAAGGCTTCTGTCTGGCAGCCGGCTGAGAGACCTCCCGTCACGTGTACCTGATGATTTGTCGCGTTTCTTGGCGTCATTGTCGTCAAATCACCATGCCGCTGCCGCCTTCTCAAATGCGTCGCTTCGTGCCGGCACCCTGACTCTGTCGGGATCGGGATGGACCGGTTTGAACACTGGTCTGATGAGTGCCTTGGGCTGAGGAGGGGGTGCAGCGTTCTTGGGCTGCGATGGCTGTGCCTGCGGATCGGCCCGGCCTTTGCCTTTGCCCCCCTTCGTCTTCCTCATTTCTTTCCCCTCGCTGAAGCGGTATGTAAACTCCCCGTAAAAAGGGTGGCCCTAACGATATTGCGAGAGGGAGTTCGGTAGCTCCAATTCGGCGGCATGGAGGACGGTGATGATGTGCTCTGCTTTGACAACACACGCACGAAACGGGAGCAGGAACTTCTCGACGCTTTCCTGAGCGGGAAGTTCGTGTGTGAGCAAGACGATGAGTTCGCTTCACCCTCACCGTCGCCCACCAAGGACGATGCCGCGCCTCCCACTGATGGCTTTAGTCAGGCTGGAGTGGCCGGAATGGCTGCTGGGGCCGGGGAGCAGCCGGAAGTGGCTGGTCGGGCCTTCGAGGCTTCTGCTGGGATAGCAGAGGCGGGGCGCATGCATGGGATTATGACTGCAGGGGCGTCGAATTCATTGCCAGACGGTGAGCAGGGAGGTGGAAGGACGCGAGGCGGTGGACGGATGATGCAATGGAATATCTGCGTGTGTGTTTCAGTAGAGAGGAGTCCTTTGGATGAGGTGCGGCAAGGGCTACGAGAGCAATTCAATCGTGTGTCGGTGAGCGATCAGGACGAAGGACAGCGAGGCTGCCGCAACACCACACCCATGCATTCCTCTGCTCTGCTCTGTTGTGTGTGTGCACCATTCAGGACATGTACTCACGTATCGCCGAGAAGGAGGCCAGGCTTGAGGCGCAGGTGACGTCCCTGCAACAGCTGCAGCGACAGGCCCACCCCCAGCCACCCTCTCAAGCGTTTCCGGCACCACGCCGATCGCAGGCCAATGGCAACGCTTTCCCCCCTGCACTGCGCACACGCAGCACCAATGGGTTCGGCACCAGGCCGACACCGACCCCCACACAGATGCCCGACCCCAGCAGTTATCGGTTCTCGAACGGATACTACACCAACAAGCTGTATGCCCTCGCTGGCTACGACTTCCCTGCCTACCCGTCGCCCTACGGCCTTCTCCCATACCCTCCCTGGGACCCCGCCAGTGCCCTACGCAACGGCGGGCAGCAACTGCCACCCAAGCAGCAGCAGCAGCAGCAGCAGCAAGGGGAGAGGAAGGACTGGAGTGACTGGGGATTCGAGCCAAGTGACGTGGACAAGTATACACCCAAAGACATCCGATTCATGTTCAAAGGGGTGAGGCTGCTCAGAACCGGCCAGTGCATTGGTTGTCTCTCCTGGTGGGCTGGTGTTGTGTGTGCAGCATTCGTTGACCGTGGCGTGTCAGGGTCTGACGGATGGCGAGCCTGTCCCTCTGGATAGGTACAATCCGCAGTACCTCAACTCCAAGGCCTTCAACACCTGGCTGGAGATGAACAAGGGCATGTTTTCTTCTCTGAAGCCTGAGCCAAAGGCACTCTCTGACAGTGAGCGGGTCAGTAAACAACACCAACGCGACACACACACACACACACACACACACAGAGAGAGAGAGAGAGAGAGAGAGTTTTCCGACGTCAATCTTACCCCTCGTTGTCTTTTTGCGCAGGCTGATCTCAACGCGCTCGTAGCTAAATATGGCGGCCCCTCATTCTGGGTGGCCAAGGAGCAGCAGCAGCCGCCATACAAGGAGTCGGCGCCCACGCCCACACGGGCCGAGCCGTCCCAGCATCCCACATCGGGCCCATTCCCCCCTCCGCCAGCCCAGCTGTCGCCACCTCAGGACAAGAACGTCAGCGAGACCAGCAACCAACACCTCCCCAGTGGCGTCAGAGACAAGAGCCGACCGATGAGGGACAAGTACGGCACCAACCAGCGGTACTACCCCGGGCTCGGCGACAAGCCCATCGTTGGCCGGCCGATCTGCCATTTCGAGTATGTTCGGGACCCTGAGTGGCTGGATGTCAAGGGCGGCCGAGACGCCATCAAGCGCAACATCCTGTCACAGATGCAGCACGAGGAGCTCAAGAGAGAGCGGGAGGCGTGGGAGAGGGATGCTGCTGAGTTCGAGGCGCTGATGGAGCGGGAGGCAGCCGACTGGAAGAGGGACATGGAAGCGGCAGAGGCAGCCGAGGCCGAGGCGGGGGCACGGAGGGACAAGGAGAGGGTGACGCTGAGGGCAGAGAGAGAGCAGCAGGGGCGGGCCGCAAAGAGGACGGCCAAGAGATCCCAGCCTCCCCTGCCCAAGCAGGCAGAAACACCACCCCCGCCATACACAGACCCATCGGATGAGCCCACACAGCCACCTGCCAAGCCGACTCGTGCCCCCAAAGCCGCGGCTAAGCCGCCCCGCCACCCAGCCCGACCCCTGCAGACGTCTCGCAACCGAGCCACGCCATCCAAGGCCACCCCATCCGGCTCCCGGCATCCCTCGCCTGCTCCCAAGAAGACCCACGGCGCTTCTTGCTCCACGCAGCCGCCTCTGAGCCACCTGCGTCGCGTCCCCCAGGCATACATCGCCCCCTTGCCGTCGTGGGACCCCAACGCCGCGGCCAAGGCGCTGAAGAAGAAGGGGCAATCGGCAGCGGGTGGCTACTTCTTCGGCCCAGTGATCATGGGTGGCGCTAAGGAGGGCGAGAAGGAGGGCGCACAGGGTGCGGAGACCAACATCACTGTCAACTACAACGTGACAGCACCCTTGGCCAAGGACAGGACGCCTGAGGCGAGTGCAGCACATGACGGGCACATGAAGGAGATCCGAGACTCCTTGAGGCTGCTGAAGTCGAAGCGCCATAACACCTCTCAGCAGCACTCACCACACACGTCCACTCGCCAGCCCGCTCGACCAGCACCGCCAAGAAAGGGCCCCATCACCACACCGGCCCGGCAAGCCAGCCCGCCCCGCGCACCCAAACCCTCCCCAGGCCCCAAAGTCCCTTCCGCCAAGCGAGTGCTGCCGGGCGAGAGGCGTGAGAGGCCTGAGCTGCGTCTCGGGCCATCACCAGCCATGGCGAGCGCTGCGGCCCGGCGACAGCTCTCGCCAGTGAAGATGAGGGGAGTGGCGACGCCCAAGAAGTCCACCTCTCTCGCCGCACTGGACGTGTCGCGAACGCCGTCACCCAACCCCAAAATGAAGAGCCCGGAGCCCCTCAGGCGTCCACCGGCCCAGGTAGCGACCCCCCCGCCGCCCCCGCCCCCTTCCAAGCCCGCAGAGCCGGTGCCCTTGCCCGAGAAGACACCCGAGAAGACGAGCCAACCGATACGAGTGGTCCACGTGGACACGGCGGTGCAGTGCTCTCCACCTGGCGGTGGCAAGGCGGAGGCTGTGGAGAAGCAGTTGGCCTTCGACAGCCCTCGGGTGGTGCGGTCTGACGCACAGGTAGCGGTGAGGCCCCGGCGCGACGTGGCGCTGCAGGTCCAGCTCGACGACCCCAGCTTGCCGCCTCTGCTCATCATCGACGATACCCGCCATGCCACTGCCCCTGACGCTGCCCTCCAGCGCTATCTGTACGCCAACGTGCAGCGGCCAAGGGTGGTCGAGTCGTCGCCCGCTGAGAGGCCTGCGCCCACTCGCTTCCGCCCAGGGCAGGTTCATCGACACAGGGAGTTGGGCATGCAGGTGGTGCCCCCGGCCCCAGCAGCGCCGGTGTGGCTCGACACACCGACATACGTCCATCCCGAGGCCTACACCTACGACCAGTCACGACACGTCAGGGTGGTGGAGGACGCGACGGCGACGGAGACGGCTGATGAGGAGCAGAGGGAGGAGGAGGGCAGGGAGGCCCTAGAGAAGAAGATCGGCGAGGCACTGCGTGAGTGGATTGACCGTCAGCCCCCTGACCCAGAGATGCACGAGACAGCCGTCCAGACGGCCGGATCCCCTCGCCCGCAGCCACCGCCCGCCCCGACACCCCCCCGAAGGACATCCGAGACGATCGCCATCCAAACATCCACTCAGGGAGACGACACAGCGACGGCGATTCGGCAGCTTGCGCGGGAGATGGAGGCCTGGCGCGAGAGGCAGGAGGAGGCCATCAGGAGGCTGCAGGAGGAGAGGGCAAGAGATGAGGAGGAGAGGAAACGGCGGGAGGCGGCAGTGAACAGTCGCGAGGAGCCGTCGGGCCCGTCGGATGAGAGGCGCGGCCGCATCCGAATGACGATAGAATACCCGCCAGTGCAAGAGAGGGAGGAGCGTAAGCAGCCCGCCCGCGAAGGCTCGCTTGATCCACTTGTGACCAGGCTGAAGAATCTCATGCTCTACGGTGAGCGGAGAGGATGACCACATAAGACAAGGCCGCACATTCAAGGCACGCCCTGTGTCGTCTCTCCGTGTGTGTCTTTCTGTCTGTCAGGTCCCATCGAGGGCCCTCGTCTTCTCAAAGGCGTGAAGCCCCACTCTGCCAAGGTCCGAGCACCCTCAGCGCCCCCATCCGCTGCCCAGCACACACGTGGTAAGAAGCCACCTCTCCCACCCAAGCAGCACCCGGCAGCCCGGCTGACTGCGACACAGCGGAGAACCACCACAGTTATGGGCGGCTTTCGCCCCCACGAGCGAGCCAGATCGAGTGTGGCCTCATCGAGTGACGAGAACAGCTCGCCCTCCGTGACCACTCAGCAAAACGGCTGCTCCATGTGTGGCGACGACGATGGCCATCGTCGCAAGGGCAGAGAGGGAAGGGCTGCAGAGTCGGGGCTTCGACGTGACACACCGACAGTCCCCGAACCAAGGACCGACACACGGTGCGATCAAGACAAGGGGGAAGGAGTGGTACCTGCATGGTGTCTATCTCGATTGTCTGTTGCTGCAGACCTGGGATGACTGAGCACGAGATGGGCCGGGTGATTGCTGATCTGAACGCCAGGATGGACAGGCTCTTCGAGTCCATCGGGCAGATCCCCCCACCCATACAGCTACCCCAGCCCCCCACTGGCACACACGAGGCGAAAGCACCGGCCCCTCACCCCACACCCGTCGCCGATAAGCCAGACCACACTCGCCTCTTCGGCTGGCCACGCCGCCCCACCCCGCCGCCAGCTCGGCCTGAGGTGCCACAGCCACAGCGGCAGCAGCAGGACCTGACGCCAGCGAAGGGCCGCACGAGCGGCACGTCACCCTTGGAGAGTGGCGAGGTTCGCTCGGTGCGCTCGGCGGCAAAGTATGATCCCTTTGACCACATGAGCCCTGGGGAGGTGCGGGGCAGCGTGGTGTCGTCACTGGAGCCCGGCGAGGTCCGGGGTGCATTCTCTGGTACGCACCGATACATGCACCCACACAGAGGCAGGCAGACCGTGACATTCGTGCTGCTGCGTATGTTGGTTTGTGTTGTAGGCGTTGTGACGCCAGATGACTCCTCTGACCTGTCGAGCGACGATGAGCCTCCTGCTGTGCCTTGCAGGACCCAACACCGTCGTCGCTGACAGAGCCATCTGATGATACAGATGGGACGGAGCGGTGGCTCATGGTTGAACTGATAGATAGAATGATAGATAGCAGCGTCACAGATGGGACCTTCGGGGAAGGGTTGTTTGTTTTTCTGTCTTGTTTTTCGGTCGGTCTTTCCGTCTGTTCGTCTGCCGTCTGTCGGTATTTGTTTTGTTTTCACCCGGAGATTGTTGTGGCCGACCTTCTGCCAGCCCAACAATGTGCATAGATTGATGTAGAATGGGCGGATGGATTGGGGAGACGCTCGAGAGACATCCAGTAGCGGGACTGACGCGAGATGCATAAGGAAGCACATTGAAAGGCGCATTGCCATCGCCATGAGTTTCCCTCCTCCCAAGGCAGCTGCAATAGTTGGAAGGCCGCGCGGACAATGGAACAATTAAGTGGGAACAATCCGGTCGATGGGACCCCACGCGAATGCGTGTCGACGAACTGTTACGAGGGGGGAGGGGCCCCCGAGTAATGGGAGGCGATCTGCCAGACGGAGAGCATAGGAAAATGGCGGGCAACAAATATACACAGTTTTGTCGAGAGTGATTTTTGATCGCCTTGAGGT